GGGCTGTGGCGAGATGCAGTGACAATTAGGCATCCATTCCAGTTTTGGGAATCCTCAAAACGTGGGTTACTGTGGTGCTGCTGTGCTGTCTGTAGGCACTAACCACCACCAGTTCACTTTCTCACCCCCTCCTTCCGCCTTTTTCCTCAACGTTTTTCCCAAATATTTCCCCAACTGTGTCCCCAACCGTTTTCCCACCTCATCTTCCCCCTTTTCCTGCTCTTCGCTTGCAGCGTGGGGACCTGCAGCTTCCCCCAGAGATTCTCAACTCTATCACTCCTCCTCCGCTGCCACCCAACCTTAGACGCGCACAGCTTGCCGCCACTGCTGCAGCTTCTACTGCTGCTGCTGCTGCCGCTGCTGCTTCTGCAGCTGTAATTCCTGCAAGTTCAGGTGCTGGTGCTGCTGGCAGTGCTGTTGGTGCTGCTGGTAGTGCTGCTGCTGGCATGGGTGTAAAGAGCGTGGGAGCAGCAGGAGCTGCTGCTGTGAAGGGGATGACAGTAGGCGGTGGATTGCCAGGTGTGAAGGTTGGGCCTGCTGGTGCTCCTGCTACTGTTGGAGCTACATCTGCTGCTGCTGGTGCTGTTTCTGCAGCTGGTGCATTGATGCAGCAGACAACACAGCAGAAGCAGCAGCAGCAGCAGCAGCAGAAGCAGCGGCAGAAGGCTGTTCAGGCACAAGCAGCCGCCGTTGCACCTGCTGCTGCTGCTGCTGCTGCTGCTGCAGCTGCAGCTTCAGCTGCCACTGCTCCCGTTTCGGCCTCTCTTCCTGCTGCTGCTCCTGCTGCCGTCTCTGCTGCAGCTGCAGCCGCTGGCACGGCTACCGCTCCTGCTGCTGCTGCTACAGCTGGTTCTGCTGTTCCAGCTGGTGCCGCTGCTACAGCTGGCGCTGCTGTTGCTACCACTGCTGCTGCTGCTGCTGCTGCAGGTAGGGTGATTGGGAGGGGAGGGCGGGTACTTCTAACAGATGAGGAGAGGAAGCAGCGGAAAGCTGATGCGAAGAAGAGGAGGAGGAAGGAGCTTAGGGAACAGAGGCTGCTGCTGCAGCAGCAGGAGCGGGAGAGAAAGCAGAAGGAAGAGGAGGAGCGGAGGAGGAAGGAGGGGGAGGAAGGTGGGGAGAAGCAGGAGCAGGCTGGGGGAGGGGAGGGGGAAGGGAAGGGGAAGGGGAAGAGGAAAGGGGGGGAGAAGCAGGTGGGATCGCAGGGACGGAGTTCCCAAGGGCTTGCTGCTGCGGCCACTTCAGGTATGCAGCAGCAGAAGCAGCAGCAGCAGATGCAGCAGGCACAGACCATTGCTCAGATGAAGGGACTTGCTGCTGCAACCGCAGCTGCGGCAGCAGCAGTAGCAGCGGGAGCAGCGGGAACAGCAGGTGCCACTGCCACAGGTGCAGGGCCGAATGCGCTAGCACAACCTGGTTCTATTACCGGAAGTGCTGCTGCTGCTGCTGCTGGCCTGATTTCCTCGAAAGCTACATTGAGGCAGCAGCAGGCTGAAGCCGTGCTGCTCAAGGGTCCTGCGGCTGCGGCTGCGGCTGCGGCTGCTGCTGCTTCTGCGGCTGCTGATGCTGCTGCTGTGGCGATCCTAGCAGGTGGCAGGCTAGGGGAGGTCCGAAAGGGGTCTGCGGCAAAGGGAGGAGCAGCAGCAGCTGCAGTAGCAGCAGGAGCAGCAGGAGCAGCAGGAGCTGCAGGAGCAGCAGGAGCTGCAGGAGCAGCAGGAGCAGCAGGAGCAGCAGGAGCAGCAGGAGCAGCAGGAGCAGCAGGAGCAGGGCCAGCAGCGGTAGCAGCAGCAGTAGCTCCTTTGAAAGGTTCAGCCTCAACCCAGCCTGCTTCTGCTGCTGCTGCAGGCGCAGCAGCAGGTTCGGCAAGAGGCCCGGGCGGAGGCGCGGCAGGAGGTCCCGCCCGAGCTGCGGCTGTGGCCAAGCCGCCAACGCCCCCGCCGCCCCCCTCTCCTGCAGCCATTGCTGGCGCGGTAGTGGCTGCTGCTGGGGAGGCGCTAGGGTTTAGAGCCCTTATTCAAGCTGCAATAGCTGAAGGTGTTGCAGGGGGGATGGGGGATGCTGCTGGGGAGGGCGCAGCAGCAGGGGGGGTTGCCGCTGGGGGTGCTTCAGGGGGGTTTGGAGGGAGTTCTGGAGCAGGGTCGGCTGGGGTGGGTGGTGGGAGAGAGGTGGGAGGTTTTGGGGATCTGATTCGTGCTGCAGTGGAAGGTAAGGAAGGCAGGCCGGGGAGGGTTGGAGGAACAGCAGCTGAGGAGATAGTTGTGGGTTCTGCTGTAGAGGAGGTGGATGGAATGGGAGGAGGAGGGACAGGAGAAGACCAGGGAGGAGATGGAGGAGGAGGAGGAATTGGAGAGATGGGAGGGGCAGCAGGAGGAGGAGCAGCGGGAGAAGCAGGAGGGACAGGGGTGCGTGCGGCTTATGAGTCGAGTCAGAAAGCGAGGGTGGCCGAGGCGATAGCGCGAATGAGCCAGCAGGAGGTTCGGGCGGCGCTGCGGCAGGTGCGGTTCGGCACGAACCTGCAGGGGCTGGTTCGGGAGGAGGTGGGGCGGATGGTGCGGGCGAACAGGGAGGCTCGGCTGAGGGAGATTGCTCGACTGTTGGGGGAGGATAATACCCCCTCGGCTGCTGATTTAGGTCCCCTCCCTGCTGCTTCGGGTGCTGTATTTCTCACTTCGAGTGATTCAACTCCTCCCCTTGCTGCTGCACCGAGTGTCATGCCTGACAAAGACCTGCCCCCGCTGCTGCCACTGACAGGAGGGGAGGATGAGCGGGAGGAGCGAGGGGAGGAGGTTGGAGGGGACGGCGTGGAGAAAGAGGGAGGGAATGACGGTGGTGCCGCTGGTGCTGGTGATGCGTCGTCTGGGGTGGTGCTGACGCCCAGGGATCATCTCAAGCTTCGGATTCTTCAGAAGATGCTGCGACTTGCCGACTTTCAGGTGTGTTTTCAGGTGCCCAGGTGCTGTGTGATCAGGTGGTTTTCAGTTTGTGCTTCGGAGGAATCTGGTGGCAGAGGAGCAGGAGATTCAAGCTATGCCCGACCGCCCATTCCGCTCCTTCCTGTTTTGTGGTTGGTGTGGTTGCCTTGCTTTGCCACGCCAATGCTGCCTCCCCGCTCCTCCTTCCCCCTGCTTCCCTTCCACCCCTCCACAAAACACTTGTCTTGTGTAGGCCAAGGTGAGGAGAGAATTAGTTGCAGAGGAGCAAGAGATTCAAGCCATGCCCGACCGCCCCTACCGCTCCTTCCTGCGCTGGGCCCACCGGCAACGGGCCGAAATCGCCAAGTCGCACGCCGTGACGCGCCGCGCCGCCCGCGACCGGCTGCTCAAGGCCGTCTTCGCCGCCCGGCGGCAGATCCTCGCCGACCGCCAGTTGGCGGCGCGTGACGGGCGGGCGGCGCGGAACCGGCACGTAGTGAGGTTCCACGAGCAGGCGGCGCGGGAGGCGGCGAGGCGGCGAGAGGAGGAGCGGCAGAAGCGGGTGGAGATGTTACTTAAGAGTAACGACATGGAGGCTTATCGGGCTATGCTGGAGGAGGAAAAGGAGAAGGCCGGGGTTGGGAAGGGTGCGAAGGAGAGGTTTGAAATGCTGAGCTCGTTTTTGAGCCAGACGGAGGAGTATTTGCGGAAGCTGGGGGGGAAGATCTGTGCGGCTAAGAGCGTTCAAGAGGTGGAAGAGGCTGCTGTTGCTGCTGCTGCCGAAGCCAGGGAGAAGGTGAGCGGGGGGGGTGGGCCATGAATGAAGGCTCTGTCAGGCTTGAAATGCTCAGCTTGTCTTGAGTAGGGTTCAGATTTTAGGTTTGTGCAAGCTTGGGGGGAAGATCTGTGCGGATAAGAGTGTTCAAGAGGTGGAAGAGGCTGCAGTGGCCGCTGCTGCTGAGGCCAGGGAGAAGGTGAGCGACAGAAGTGGGGTGGGTGGGGGATACTTGCTTTTAAGTCGACTAGAAGGTGACAAAGAGTGTTCAAGAGGTGGAAGTGGCTGCAGTGGCCGCTGCTGCTGAGGCCAGGGAGAAGGTGAGAGACAGAAGTGGGGTGGGTGGGGGGTACTTGCTTTTAAGTCGACTAGAAGGTGACAAAGAGTGTTCAAGAGGTGGAAGAGGCTGCAGTGGCCGCTGCTGCTGAGGCCAGGGAGAAGGTGAGAGACAGAAGTGGGGTGGGTGGGGGGTACTTGCTTTTAAGTCGACTAGAAGGTGACAAAGAGTGTTCAAGAGGTGGAAGAGGCTGCAGTGGCCGCTGCTGCTGAGGCCAGGGAGAAGGTGAGAGACAGAAGTGGGGTGGGTGGGGGGTACTTGCTTTTAAGTCGACTAGAAGGTGACAAAGAGTGTTCAAGAGGTGGAAGAGGCTGCAGTGGCCGCTGCTGCTGAGGCCAGGGAGAAGGTGAGAGTGGTGGGCGGGCGAGCACTGATAATATGGATGGTATGTGAGGGGAGGAGGAGAGGAGGAGGAGGAGAACGAGAGGGTGGGGAGGGAGAGAGTGAGGATATGTACGAGATGACCTCTGATATGCTGAGCTCGTACTGAGTGAGATGAGAAGATGGAGGGAGGAGTATTTGCGGAAACGGTCGGCAGGTTTTTCATGTTCCGCCCTCGGGCCCCCCCCGACTCCCTTCCTCCCCACTCCTCTCCAAACCCCCCTTTCTTTCTCCATCCCTCAGGGTATGAGCGAGGAGGAGGTGGAGGCGTACGTGCAACGAGTGGTGGCCAGCCTGTCTCGTAACGACGGTCCCGAGGGAGAGGAGGTTGGAGGAGAGACAGGCGCGGCTGCTGTGTCCAAGTGAGTCCCGTCCCTTGTCTTCCTTGTTTGTGCTGTGCACTCTGGAGCCTCACACACACTTGTTCCGAGGGACCCAGGGGAGATGGGCCAGAGGCTGGTAGCCGGCCTGTCCCATGACAACGGTCCCGAGGGAGACGGGGTTGGAGGAGAGACAGGCGCCGCTGCTGTGTCCAAGTGAGTTGAAACGCTGAAGTGATTCTTGTTTCCTTGTTGCACCCCTTACCGGGATGTCTCGCAACGACGGTCCCGAGGGAGAGGAGGCTGGAGGAGAGACAGGCGCGGCTGCTGTGTCCAAGTGCGTGCGAATTTGAGGGGTGGTTTGTAGAATTACCCTGAGAAAGTGGGGCGCTATAACAGTGGGATGGGATGCTATTCCTTTTTTTTGTTTCTTTTTTTGGAGGGGTGGGGGAAGAGGAGGGGGGAGGGTTGTTTTCGTTTCGTTTTGTTTCGTTGCTCAATCCCCTCTCATCCCCTTCACTATTGTCACATCCATGCAGGTACTACAAGCTGGCTCACTCTGTCTCTGAGACCATCACCCACCAACCTTCGATGCTGCGCATGGGCACCCTGAGGGAGTACCAGATGGTGAGTGCTGCGGAGTGTGGTGCTGGAGTCTCAAATGGTTTCAAATGGAGCATTCACGAACTACAAGCTGCCTCACTCGGTGGGTCTCTGAGACCATCACCCACCAGCCGTCCATGCTGGTGGGTGATGGTGAGTAGGAGCCAGCCATGCTGGATACCAGATGGTGAGTAGGAGCCAGCCATGCTGGATACCAGATGGTGAGTAGGAGCCAGCCATGCTGGTGAGTGACAGGTTTGAGAGTTCCACTCCGCAAGGCTGGTATTCTGTGGGTGGGGAGACTGAGAGACTTACACCGAGTAAATCCCTGCAACTTCAGAATATCGTCCTTTTGACTCTCCCCAGTGTAGATTCATCTTCTCCGCTCTCCTTCTCCCTCCCTGCCCCCTTCTTTCTGGATGTAACCGTATGTGTAACCCTATCCCCCCTCCCACTCTCCGGTGTAACCTTATACTCCTTATGCAGGTGGGGCTGCACTGGATGGTAACACTCTACAACAATCGCTGCCATCCTCTCTCTCACCTCCTACTCTCTTTTCTTACTTCTTGTGTAACCCAATATCCCGTTGACTGGTAACCAGGTGGGGCTGCAGTGGATGGTATCGCTCTACAACTATTGCTGACACCCTCTCTCTCACCGCCTGCTCTCTCTCCTCCTATTCCGTGCGTTGCAACCCTTTAATCCGTTGATTGGTAACCAGGTGGGGCTGCAGTGGATGGTATCGCTCTACAACAATCGGCTCAACGGCATTCTGGCAGACGAAATGGGCCTGGGGAAGACAGTGCAGGTGGGTGCAGTGCGGTGCAGGATGGGTGCAGTGCGGTGCTGGATGGGTGCCGTGCGGTGCTGGTGGGTGCAAGTGAGTGATTGGTGGTAACCAGGTGGGGCTGCAGTGGATGGTATCACTCTACAACAATCGCCTCAACGGCATTCTGGCGGACGAAATGGGCCTGGGGAAGACAGTGCAGGTGGGTGCAGTGCGGTGCTCGTAGGTGCAATGCGGCGTGTGAGTGAGAGAGCGAGTGAGGGAGTGAGGGAGAAAGTGAGGGAGTGAGTGAGGGAGCGAACGAGTGAGCGAGGGAACAAGTGAGGGAGTGAGTGAGGGAGCAAGTGAGGGAACGAGTGAGGGAGTGAGTGAGGGAGCAAGTGAGGGAACGAGTGCTGTTCATTTCCGTTCCCCGCCCATCTCCCCCCACCAGGTCATAGCCCTTCTCACCTACCTGATGGAGCACAAGAGCAACTACGGCCGTCATCTAATCATCATGCCACCCTCCACTGTTGCTGCGCTCTCTTTTTACACCTGCCACCTTGCCACACATCTCGCCCTCACAGGTCATGGCTCTGCTCGCCTACCTCATGGAGCACAAGAGCAACTACGGCCCGCACCTCATCATCGTGCCCAACGCCGTGCTGGTGAATTGGAAATCGGAGCTGCATGCGTGGCTGCCCTCCGTTTCCGCTGTCTTCTATGTGGGAGGCAAGGAGCAGCGCGCCAAGCTCTACACCAAGGTGGGTGAGTTGTGACTCCCTGTGTATCCGTGTGTCTGCGTGACCACAACGCTGTGCTCGTGAACTGGAAGGCGGAGCTGCACGCCTGGTTGCCCTCCCTTTCGGCTGCGTTCTATGTGGGAGGGAAGGAGCAGCGCGCCAAGTTCTATACCAAGGTGAGGGGCGATCGGTGCCTGTATGTTTGTGTGTGTGTGTGTGTGTGCGCGCGCGCGTGTGCGCGCGTGTGTGTGTGTGTGTGTGGGTGTGTTTGTGTGCGTGCGTGTGTGTGTTTGTGTGTGTGTGTGTGTGCGCGCGCGCGTGCGTGCGTGCGTGCGTGCGTGCGTGCGTGCGTGCGTGCGTGCGTGCGTGCATGCGTGCGTGCGTGCGTGCGTGCGTGCGTGCGTGTGTTTGTGTGCGTGCGTGTGTGTGTTTGTGTGTGTGTGTGTGTTTGTGCGCGCGCGTGTGTGTGTGTGTGTGTGTGTGTGTTTGTGTGCGTGTGTGTGTGTGTGTGTGTGTGCGCGCGCGCGCGCGTGTCTGTGTGTGTGTGTGTGTGCGCGCGTGTGTGTGCGCGTGTCTGTGTGTGTGCGTCTCTGTACGCGCGTGCGTGTGTGCATGCGCTTGTGTGTGTCCAAAAGTCCTCATATCCCTTCCCTTTTACTTCCCCCTTCCAATTCCCAACTCCCAGGAGGTAGCCCCAATGAAGTTCAACGTGCAGGTGACCACATTCGAGTTCATTATACAGGACAGGGTGCGCCTCTCAAGTGGCCGTTTAAGCTGCCTCAACGCCCGTGTTCCCCTCTTTTGCCGCTCTGTCCCCCTTGTCCCTCACACCCAGGAGGTAGCCCCAATGAAGTTCAACGTGCTGGTAACCAGACTAGAGTTCATCATGCGGGACCGTGCCCGTCCCTCTCCCTGTGCATGCTGAGAAGACTTCACTCACATCTCCCGTTCTCCCTCCAATGCCACCCCCTCTCTGCACCCCACACACCCAGGAGGTAGCCCCAATGAAGTTTAACGTGCAGGTGGCCACACTCGAGTTCATCATGCGGGACAGGGCGCTCCTCTCCCGAGTGGACTGTTAAGGTTGGCTCATACACACTTCTTCCCCTCCCTTGCTCCCCTCCATTCCCCAGGAGGTAGCCCCGATGAAGTTCAATGTGCTGGTAACCACATTCGAGTTCATCATGCGGGATCGGGCGCGCCTCTCCAAAGTGGACTGGCGCTACCTGGTGATTGACGAGGCCCACCGCATGAAGGACCGGGACTCGCGGCTGTCACGAGATCTGGACCGGTTCAGAGTGCAGAGGAGGCTGCTACTCACCGGCACACCTCTGCAGGTGGGAAGGAGTGGGGAGGGAGGCAGGGAGGCAGGGGGAAAAGGAAGGGGGGGGAGAGGGAAGGGGGGGGGTACCAGAAAAGTTTTGTCAGTCGACAATCTACCAGGTGCATCCTCAACGCCTACCATCATCTCGTTAATGTCATGAATTTGTCCAACTTTTCGACATGTCAAACGCATGGTGTTTGGTATGCATTTGTGGTTTTATATTGTTAGAGGGAAGTAATCAAGTTCAGAAGCATTTTAAAGAGTTTTATCCTCTTGGGTCACTTGAAATGCTTCAACCACATTGCCCTCCTGCCAGTCGTGAAATCCCTCCGCATCCACATCACAACATGAATTGGTGTGTGAATTTTCACAACCAGGTTGGTGCGGGTTCATGTTGTGATGTGTGTGTGGAGGGATTTCACGACGGGCAAGATGTCGATGTGGTTGAAACGTTTCAAGTGACCCACGAGGAAAGAACTCTTTAAGATTTTTCTGAGCTTGAATACTTGCCTCTAACATATAGAACCACAAGGACAAACCCCACACGGGCGTTTGACACAACCTCAACCTGCTTCTCTCAGACTTGTTCGATTCAAGCAAAGTCTTCAACGACTGGTTCGCTTCCCCTTTCCTCATCCCCCCACTCCTTCCTCTCTGCACTGTCTCCCTGCGGTACCCTGGCAGAACGACCTTTGGGAATTGTGGTCTCTCCTCAACCTTCTCCTCCCATACGTGTTCGATTCAAGCAAGGTCTTCAACGACTGGTTCGCTTCCCCCTTCTCTCTCTATCTTCCCCACTCCCCCTGTCCCCGCACTGTCCACCCCCCCCTGTATGTTGCTTTCCCCAACCCAACAGAAAGACCTGCGGGAATTGTGGTCGTTTCTCAATCTGCTCCTTCCAGATGTCTTTGACTCCAGCAAGGTCTTCAACGACTGGTTCGCTTCCCCCTTGGCCCCCAAACTTCCCCCCTCTTCCCGCTCCCCCGGGCTCACCCCCTTCGTGCATTGTCTTTCTCTGTGCGTTACCCTGGCAGAACGACTTGAGGGAATTGTGGTCTCTCCTCAATCTCCTCCTTCCAGACGTGTTTGACTCGAGTAAGGTTTTCAACGACTGGTTCGCTGCCCCTTTCCAAAAGGACACCAAAGGAGGAGGGGGGGGAGGGGGAGGCGGAGCAGGAGGAGCAGGGGGAGCAGGGGGGGCGGCAGCTGATGAGATGGAATGGCTGGAGACTGAAAAGAAAGTGATTGTGATACATCGTCTACACCAGATTCTCGAACCATTCATGCTGCGCCGCATGGTGCAAGATGTAGAGGGTAACCTACCGAAAAAGACCTCTGTGGTGCTCCGCTGCCCGCTCTCCGCCTGCCAAGCCGCAATCTACGACTGGGTCCGAGCCACGGGCACGCTTCGGACCGACCCTGAGCAGGAGGCTCGGCGGGTGGCTGCGGGGAAGAGCAGCGGGAGTACGGTTCAGAGGTATGTGAGGGAGTTTGTGCCGGTGCAGAACAAGTGTATGGAGCTGAGAAAGGTGGTTAATCACCCGTTTCTGACCTACTCCTCGTATGACCTCACTGTTCCTGCCCCTCCTGCTGGTGGTTCTGGTGGCTCTGCTGGTGCTGCTGGTGGTGCTGGTGGTGCTGGTGGTGCGAGTCCTTACGGTGCTTCAGATGCTGGTTACCCTACCGGTCCCTCTTTCTACAGCCCGGATGTGATTGTTCGCACGTGCGGCAAGTTTTATATCTTAGACCGAGTTCTGCTTAAACTGCATCGCACAGGGCACAGGGTGTTACTATTTTCCACCATGACTAAGCTTCTAGACCTTCTGGAAGACTATCTACGGTGGAGGAAGCTTGGCTACTGCCGGATCGACGGATCTACACCGTTGGATGCTCGGGAGGCTGCGATTGGCGAGTTTAACAAGCCTGGGTCGGAGCATTTTGTCTTTTTGCTGAGTATCCGGGCGGCGGGGCGGGGGCTGAATCTGCAGAGTGCGGATACGGTTGTGATATATGATCCTGATCCGAATCCTAAGAATGAGGAGCAGGCTGTAGCACGGGCACATAGGATTGGGCAGAAGAGAGAGGTGCTGGTGATGTATCTCGAGGCGGTTACAGAGGTTACTGCAGCGCACTGTAAAGAGGATGAGATTGAGAGTAGAGGAGGGGGAGCGGGGGAGGGGGATGGGGAGGGAGGTGTGGGGGGGAGGAGAGAGGGGAGGTGGAGGAAGAGGAAGAGGGAGGATGGGTTGGTGCAATCACCAACGTCTCAGTCAACTGGAGCAGGGAGGGGAAGAGGAAGGGGGGGAAGGGGAAGAGGAAGGGGAGGGGGAAGAGGAGAAGGAAGGGGAGGAGGAAGGGAAGGAGGAGGGCGAGGAGGAGAAAAAGGGGGTGGGGGTGGATCACGGTACATAGGATCTATAGAGACGCTAGTTCGCACCAAGATACAGCAGCACAAGATTGAAATGGCAGATGAAGTGATCAACGCAGGCCGGTTCGACCAACGCACGACACAGGAGGAGCGGCGGATGACTTTAGAAGCTCTGCTGAAGGATGTAGAGCGGTACCAAGAGGCGGTTCCGGATGTACCCTCCATGCGCGAGGTAAACCGGATGATTGCCCGAGGGGACGACGAGCTGGCGCTCTTTGATAGGATGGATGAGGAGGAGGAATGGCCGGGATTGGTTGAGGAGGCTTGGGAGGTGGTTCCTTGGCTGAGGGCTAATTCGAAGCAGGTGGCGGCTGCTGCTGCTACGACTGCCAAGCCTGCGCTTCGGAAACGGAGGAAGGCGTCAGGTTCGGAAGAGGGAGGGGCGGAAGGAGGTTCGGCCGAGCCTGTGGAGGTGGAGTGGTGGAAGGAGGGGGAGCAAGTGGGAGGGGAGGAAGAGGAAGAGGAAGAGGAGGAAGGGGAGTTCAAGAGCAGAGGGAGAGGGGGTAGAGGTGTTGACAGGGGGGAGGGAGGGGAGGTGGAGGAGGAGGGAATGATTGTGGGGGATGAGGAATTTGATGGGGGGATTGATGGGGAAGAGGAGGGAGGGGGTGAGGAAAAGGACAAGGGAGGAGCAGAGGCAATGGGGGATAAGATTTTGTTGGGGAAGGAAGATGAAGAGGAGGGTGAGGAGGTTTTTGAGAATTCTCAAGAACAAGAGGTGGTAGAAGGATGGGAGCGTGTGGAAGGAAAAGAGGGAGTAGCAGCAGAAGAGGAGGAAGAGGAGGAGGGAGAAGGAGCGGATGTTCGTTGGGTGAGAGAGAGTGGTGGGGGGGAGGTGGGGGGTGAAGGGGAGGAGGCGGATGAAGGGGAGGAGGAAGGAGTTGAGAAACAGGGTAAGAGGAGGGTAAAAGGGGTGGTAGAGGAGGAGGTAGTTTTGGAAGAGGATGAGGAGGAAGAGGAGGAAGAGGAGGAGGAAGGGATATGGGTGGAGGGTGATAGTGAGAGGCTTGGGAAAGATGGTGGGGAGTTTGCGGGAGTAGGAGTGGGTGTGAAGGAGGGGAGGAAGGGGAGGGGGGGGAGAAGAGGAGGGTACGGAGGGAAAGAGTTGCGGAAGAGGGGATATAGAAAGAGGGTGAAAGATAAAGAGATGATGGAAGATGAAGAAAGGGTGGAGGAAGGGGAGATGATGGGAGATGGGGTGGGAGGTGCAGGGCTTAGGAAAGATGCAAAGCTGAGGAATGATGTAGAGGACTTAACTGGTGAGGGAAAGCGAGGGGGAAAGGAACGCCGCAGGTTTAAGCTTTCCAAGGGAAGTGACGGCAGGCTGAAGCTCTTAAAGGGACTCCGTGAGGAGCTCAATAGAGGGGATGAGAGGGAGGAGAGAGGTGGAGTGCGGGAGGAGGGGAGGGAAGGATGGGCGGGGATGGGAGGGGTTGGTGCTGGAAGGAAAGAGGTAAGGGCTGAGGAGAAGGGTAAGAAGGAGAAGGGTGAAGAGGAGAGAGGTGAGCAGGGGAGGGGAGAGCAGGAGAGAGGTGGGCAGGCGAAGGAGAAGGAGCAGAAGAACCAGCACCGGCACCACCACCACCACCATCGGCGCAAGCACAGTAGCGGTCACGGCAAGACGAGTGGGTTTGAGTGGCAGGAGGGAGAGCAGGAGGGGATTGTGGGTGGAGGAGAGGTTAGGAGTAATGGGAGGGAGAGGAAGGAAAGGATGGGTGAGGAGGAGGAGAGGAAAGAGAGGAAAGAAAGGGAGGAGGGGAAGGAAGGGAAGGAGGGGAAGGATGGGAAGGAGAGGTGGAGGGGTGAGGGGCGAGAGGAGAAGATTAAGCGGGAAGCAGAGCGCGGGAGGGGAGTGGAGATAGTACAGGAGGGAGAGAAGGATGCAAAGGAGCAAGTAAAGGAAGGCAGAGAAGCTGTGAGGAAGGAGGGGATGGTGCCTGGGAAGGAGGGGGCGAAGGCGAAGCGGAAAGAGAAAGCGGAGAGGAAGAGAAGGGGTGATAAAGGGGTGGAGGTTGAGGGAGGGGGCGAGGGGGAAACGCCTGGGGAGATTCGTATGCTGGGTGGGAGGGAAGGGAAGGCAGAGAAGGGAGGGAAGGGAGGGAATAAGGGAGTGATGGGAGGGGAAGACGGAGGGGAGGAGGGAGGGGAGGAGGGAGGGGAGGAGGGAACAGCTAGGGCGGGAATACAGGTAGAGCCGTTTCGGGTTCCGCGAGTTGTTGCTTCTAAACGCGAGCTGCAGATCGAGAGCAAGTATAATAACGAGTCCAAGGGCGAGGCTTATAGCGAGTTGGCTCTTAAAGAGTCGCGTGCTGTTCTCCCGAGTCCCAGGGTGAGCAAGAAGAGGAGTGTAGCGAGTCTAGTGACGGGAGAGGAGAAGGAGAGGGGGCAAGTGAGGAGAGAGGAAAGGAAGCGAGAAGAGGGTGAGGATGATAAGGAGGAGGAGGAGGAGAAGAGAGGGAAAGAGAGCTGGTTGGTTCAGGAGCGTGTGAGGGATGAGCAGAGGAAGGAGGGGAAGGTGGTTGAGGAGAAGATGGGAAGAGGAAGAGAAGCGAAGGAAGAGGTTCTTGTGGGGGAAGGGGATTGGAGGGGGAGGAGGGGCCTTGAGGTGGATAAGGAAATGAGTGGTCCTCTTGCTGATGCTAGTGGTGCTGGTGCTGGTGCTGGTGCTGGTGCTGGTGCTGGTGCTGGTGCTGGTGCTGGTGCTGGTGCTGGTGCTGGTGCTGGTGCTGGTGCTGGTGCTGGTGCTGGTGCTGGTGCTCGTGTTGATGCTGCTGGTGCTGCTGTTGCTGGTACAGGGAGGAAGCGAGGAAGGAAGAGGAAACTGGGTTTGGTGGCACAAGAAGATGCAAAGGGAGGCGCGGGAGGGGCAGAAGGGGTTGGAGGACTGGGAGGGGTGAGACGGGTGGGAAAAGAGGACATAGAGGGAGAAAGGGAAGTGGAGGGAGTGGTGGGGAAGGCTGGGACGGAAGGCTTGCCAAAGTTGGCTGTAGGAGAGGAGGGAAGAGGAGGATATACTGTAAGGGAGAGGGGTGGAGGAGAGGGAGGAGAAGGAGTAGGAGAGGGAGAAGGAGAGATACGAGGAGAGATTGTGAGAGAGGGGGAAAGGGAGAGAGAGGAAGAGGGGGTAGGTGGAGCAGACGGGGAGGGTGGGGAACTGAAGAGACGGAGGAGGATTTTGCTGCCCGGGAGGGGTGGAGGGCGCAGGAAGAAGGATAGGCATGATGCTTTGGTAAGTGCTGGTTGGGGTGTGAGGAGGAGCAGGGGCCTCTCAGGCCACCAGCAGAGTGCTGCTGGTATGAAGAATTTGGAGAGGAAGAGGGAGAGGAAGGGGGAGAGGGAGAGGGAGGAGAGGGGGAAGGAGGAGAGGGAGAGAACAGTGGCAGGGAGAGCAGGAGGTGTTGAGAGGGGAGGTTTTACTGAAGCAGAGATGCTGAAAGGAGGGAAGAGGAGAGGGGAGAAATTGCTTCTGCCTGTGATGGCATGGGAAGGGGAAAGCGGAGTGGAGGAGAGAGCGGAAGAGAGCGCAGAGAAGGGAGAGGAGAAGAGAGAGGAGAAGAGGGAGAAGCAGCAGCAACAGGTGAGGGAGAAAGCAGAGGAAGCAGAGGCAGGAGGAACTTTTGTGAAAGGGGCGAAACAAAGTGAAGAACCTTGCAAGAGCAGCAGTAGTGACAGCAGCAGCATGGGCGTCGGAACTGGCAGCAAGAGGAGTGGTGAGGGTGAGAAGCAGGGACGAGACGGCAGCAAACAAGGTACAAGCAGCAGCAGCAGTGAAAACAGTAGCGATCGCAGCAGTGACAGCAGCGACAGTAGCAGTAGCAGTGGTGATGCTGGTGACAGCAGCAGCAGTGGGGGACCTATTGTGGATGGTGAAGGGTTGAGGGATGGTGTGCAGACTGGGGATGATGCAGGTGTGGGGATGGGTGAGGAGGGGTATGGTGTGGAGAAGGAGGACGAGCAAATGGGGAGGGAGAAAGGGGATGGTGGAAGGGAGAGTGTAGGTGGCAAATTAGAGACGGAAGAGAGGGAGAGGAGGGAGGAGAGGAAGAGGGACGAGAGGGATGAGAGGGAGAAGAGGAAGGAGAGGGAGGAGAGGGGAGCAAGTGAGAAACAGTTGGGAGGCAGCGGAGGAGTACAGTTTCCTAATGAAGTTTCGAAAGGTTATGCTAATAGGGAAGAATCTGCTTATATGGGGAATTTGAAGCAGAAGGTAATGGAGGAGGAAGGGAGGGACGAGAAGCAAAGGGGACGGTTGGATGAGAGGAAGGATGGTGAAAGGAGGGAGGGTTGGGCAGGGCGTGACGAGCAGCGGCTAGAGTGGGGTGTGAAAGGCGATGTCATGAAAAGTGATAAGAAAGAAGCTCAAGTGTTGGATGGCCGTTTTGGGGAGAAACAAACGAAAGGCAAGATTGGTGTGGGAGGAGCAGGAGAGAGGAAGGGAGAGGCAGCAGAAGAGGCTAAGGCTGAGAGTGGGGCAGGTGGGGGGAGTCGTGAGCAGGAAGAGCAGGGACAAGAGAGGAAGGAGGAAGGTGGAGAGGATGAGGGAGATGCGAAGGGAACGAAGGGAGAGGAGTGGGTAGAAAGAGGGGTGGAAGGAGGGGAGAGAGAGCGAGAGGAGGGCGTTGGGGGGGGGGGAGAGAAACAAAGAAACTGCTTTTGGTTTGAGTAGTGAGTCTAGGAAGAGGGATGAGGACAGGGCGAGTGAGAAGGAGAGAGGGAGGGAGAGTGTCAGGGCTAGGGAGGGGAGTGATGGGGTGGTGGTTGAGGGGAGGAGGGTGGTGGAAGTGCGTGAAAGGAGTGAGGAGTGGAGGAGGAGGGAGGAGAGGAGGAGCGAGGAGAGAAGGAAGGGGGAAAGGAGTAAGGAGGAGAGGAAGGAGTTTGAGGTGAGAGGCAGAAGGGATGAAAAGGAGAGAGACAGAAGAGAGGGGGATGGAAGGGCTGGGGAGAGGGAGAGGGAAGGAGTGGGGGATAAAAACGGAGAAGAGAGGGATGAAAGGAGAGAAGGGGAAAGGAGAGAGGGGGAAAGGAGAGAGGGGGAAAGGAGAGAGGGGGAAAGGTCTAGAGGAAGCGAGAAGGAGAGAAAAAGAGAGGGGGAGGAAGGAGAGAAAGCGAGAGGGAAGAGGGAGAGGGAGGGGGAGAGGGAGAGGGAGAGGGAGAGGGAGAGGGAGAGGGAGAGGGAGAGGGAGAGGGAACGAGGCAGAGAGAGGGAGAGAGAAAAGGGAGTGGAGAGAGAGGGGGAGAAAGAGGGGGTGAGGGAGGGGGTGTGGGAGAGGGGGAGGGAAAGGGTCAGTGAGAAGGGGAGGGTGGGAGGGGAGGAGAAGGATAGGGGGGATCGTACTGCTGCTGGTGTGGGGATGGATAGAGGTAAGCAGGAGCATCGAGCCTTAGGTGGTAGAGAGAGAAGCGAGGATGGGAGGGAGAATAGGGAGAGTAGAGAGAGGAGAGAGAGCAGGGAGAATAAGGAGAGGAGGGAGCATGAGAGACGAGGAGAGGAGGGGCAGTTGGAAAGGGGAAGGGACGGGGAGCGGGAGAGGAGCAGAGGGAGGGAGAGGAGGGAGAGTGAGAGAAGCGAGGAGACGGTAAGGAGGGTTTGTGCTGAGGGGAGTAAAGATAGCAGAGGGATGTTGACTGATGCCAAGAGAGACAGGGAGGAAAGGGAAAGCAGGGAAAGCAGGGAACGAAGGGAAAGGCCGGGAGTTGGTGGGGAATGGGGAGAGGAGAGGCGGGGAGAGGAGCGGAAGCAAGAAAGGGGAGTAAAGGGGGTAGAGGGGGAGGAGGGAGTGGGAGGGAGGAGGCGGGGAAGCGATGGTGTTTTTCCGAGGCAAGACTCTAAGGGTAGAGATGAGCTTGTGAATCGAATCCCAAGCCAGCACCCTTGGAGTGGTGACGCCTTTCCTAGGCAAGACTCTAAGGGTAGAGAGGAAGGAGAAGAGGAAGGGAGGGCGAGGAAAAGGAGGGTGGATGTTCAAGAAGAGGGAGAGGAGGGAAGGAGGAAGAGAGATGCGGAGAGTGATGGTGGTAGAGAGAGAGGGAAGGATGGTGGGATGGGGATTGGAGTAGGCTTGGTGGGTAGGGGTGAAAAGGGAGGGTCTTGGGAGAAGGAGTGGAGTGAGGGAGGGGAGAGGAGAGGAAGTGAGGGAGGAGTGAGAAAGGGAGAGTTGCAAGAGGGTGTGAGGGAGGGGGAGAGGGTGGGAGAAGAGGAGAGGGAGGAAGGGGAGGCAGAGGAAGGGGAGTGGGAGGAGGGAGAGGAGAGAGAGTGGGGAAGAGAGGAGGGATGGGAGGAGGGGAGAGGGGAGTGGGGAGAGGGGATGGAGGAAGGGGAGAGGGGGGAGGAAGGGGAGATGAAGGAGGAGGGTGCAATGCAGGTGGGACAGGAGCAATGGCAGGTGAATCGTAATCAGCTGGAAGGAAGAGGAGTGAGAATGCAAGAAGGCAGAGGGGAGCGAGGGGGAGAGAGAGACGAGATGTTGGTAGGTGGGAAAAGAAAATGGGTGTGGAAGATTCAGGAGGAGACTGTAGTGGGAAGAGAGGGAGAGGGAGGCCTGGCTGACCGTTTACCATTACCGCCACCACCACCGCTGCCTACACCAAGAATGTCCCTTGCTTCTGGCTCTGCTTCTGCTTCTGGCTTTGGTTCTGCTTCTGGTTTTGGTGCTGCTGCTGGTTCGGATTCTTCTGCTGCTGCTCGTGCTGGTTCTGCTGCTCGTGCTGGTTCTGCTGCTCGTGCTGGTTCTGCTGCTCGTGCTGGTTCTGCTGCTCGTGCTGGTTTTGCAGGGCCACAATTGCTACCGCCACCACCCCCACCTCCTGGGCCCCCACCAGAGAGTGCAGTGCTGTTGAGTGCAGTGGGGAGTGGTGAAGGTAGAGGACGAGGAAGGGGGAGGGAAGGAGGGAGGGGAGGAGGGAGGGCGGGAAGGGGGGGAGGGAGAGGAGGGGGGAGGGAGGGAGTGGGGAGGGGAGGGCGAGGGGGAGGGAGACAGGAGGGAGGAAGAGGGCAGGGGGGAAGAGGAGGGGAATTTCCTGGAAGGGGGATTTCAACACCGAGGGGTTTCCAGGGGAGGGATGAGAGGGACAGGTTCGGTGGCAGTGAGGTTCGGAATGAGAGGTTCGGTGAGGGTGAGGTTTGGGGAGACAGGACAGAGAGGAACGAGGCTCGGGATGACAGGTTCGGCAACCCTCCAGGCTTCAGGTCAGGTTCAGAAGAGGGGAGGGAACCAGGAGGAGGTAGGTTCGGCACAGCAGCAGCAGCACGTGGGGGTGGGGGGATGAGGGAGGGAGGCGGGATGAGAGAGGGAGGCGGGATGAGGGACGGAAGAGGGATGGGCGAGGGAGGGGGGATGAGAGAGGGAGGGGGGATGAGAGAGGGAGGAGGGATGAGAGAGGGAAGAGGGATGGGGGAGAGAAGAGAGACCGATTTTTCCTCCCCCCCACCATTACCGCAACTGCATCCCAATCACCCTTCTGCTTCCTCCCACCAATCCTCTCACCCCACTTCCCTGCCTCCTCATTCTGCCGGACCTATCTCTGGTTCGGCCGGACCTATGCCCCCTTCCGGACCAAGGCATCTCACGGAGCACTCACTCCCCTCCGGACCTCCTGCCGGACCTATTCACTCTGGGGGACCTATCCGCTCTGCCGGACCTATGCATCCCGGTGGACCAACCCATTCCGCCGGACCACCTCGGCCCGGACCTCCGCCGGCTGCCGGGCCTCCAGCCGGGCTTGCGGTTCGGAAATGTGCAGACATGCTAATGCAGTTTAATGCCTCTCTGGATAGCAGAGGGGAGAGGATCGGAGATTACTTGTTAGATAAATCGGCAAGTCAAGACAGCGCAAGGAGCGGGGGAGGTGGAGGAAGAGGAGGTAGAGGAGGAGGAAGGGGTGGAGGGAGAGGAGGAGGAGGAAGGGGAGGAGGGGAGATGGAGGGGATGGGGTTGACGATGGGAGGCGTGGAGGAGAGGTTGTTTTCAGGGGGGTACCAATCGGTGGTGCAGGTGTTTGAAGAGGTTCGGATGGTTGTGGAGGGGTACCTGCGATGGCACAAGGGCAACCGAGAGGTGAGTGAGGAAGTGAGGTGAGGAGAGGAGAGGAGAGAAGAGGAGTTCAGAAGTCTTACAGCTTTGGGTTGTGGAGGTACCTGCGATCGCACAAGGGCAACCGAGAGGTGAGAGTGCGGAATAAGAGAGAGATGAGGAGTAAGAAATAAAGTGTAAAAGGGTGGTCTGTGGAGGCGAGGCGACCAGGAGGGGAGGAGGTGCATGTTATGAAGTGCCACAGTTGGATCGGCATGTTTCAACCTCTTGTAGCATAGAAAGATAGTTTCGACCTGGATCCAACGGTCCTAACCCGTCCTAGTCTCCTCTAGGCTGAGCTTAGGCTAGTAGGGATTGAATAGGTAAGAAATTGTCATTCAAACCTGTGTTACGAAGTGCCACAGTTGGATCGGCGTGTTTCGACCTCATTTCCTTCTATCAGCTAGCCGCTAGTCTCCCCACTTGCCCTCTCTCTCACCCTCTCCTCTGCAGCCCTTTCTCCAATGCCTTCCTGCTTCTCATTTCTCTGCTCTCTTCATTTCGTTCGGCAGGTACCAGACCAGTGGAGCTACACCATTTCCTCCGCATATTCTTCCAGCAGCTCACCTCTGCCTTCCAATCACCCCCGTTCTTCCAGCAACTCACTGCTTACCCTCTCCTCTCCTCTCCTCTCCTCTCCTCTCCTCTCCTCTCCTCTCCTCTCCTCTCCTCTCCTCTCCTCCCCTCTCCTCTCCTCTCCTCTCCTCTCCTCTCCTCTGCCTCCTCAACGTGTGCCTTACAGGTATCAGTGGAGCTACATCACTTCCTCCGCATATTCTTCCAGCAACTCACCTCTGCCTTTCCCGATGCTGACTGGCAATCCGTGTCCGCCGGACCTCATTCCGGGCCACACCCTGGGCCTCACACCGGGCCTCACTCTGGACCACATTCTGGACCTCATGGTCCCCCACATGGACCTCATGGTCCCCCACATGGACCTCCAACTCATCCCCCTCATGCCTCACCCCATCCCCCCTCTCAAGGCCAACTACACCCCTCCTCTCACCCATCTCCCCACCTTCCCCCTCACATGCTCCACCCCCTCCCCTCCCACTCATCTCCCCATCCCCCGAACCATCCCCCCCAGTCAAGTCCTTATCCTCCCCATCCCCAACACGCCCCCCATCCCTCCCATGCTCCCCACGGCCCCCATCCTCCCCAGGGGAGACAGGGCCCTCCCCATCCTTCCCCCGCCCCCTCCCCCCACCCTCGCAACCAAACATCACCACCCCCACAGCACTTCTCACACCCAGACTCAACCCGAGAGGGCTCCCTCCCCCCCCACCCCATGCCACCCCTTCACGAGCCCCCCTTTTCCCATGCAAACCCGCACTTCTCGTCCCTCCCTCCTCCGCTCTCCTCCTCCCACCCTCCCTCACATGCTCCCCAGCACCGCATCTCACTCCCTCCCAACGCTCCCAACCATCCCGCCACCCCCATGCCGCCTCCTAGCAGGCAAATGCTGCCGGATAGGCAGTCATTTCAGGAACGCCCCCCTCCCTCCTCTCAGCCTCAGTTTGTAGGGCAGCATGAGCAGCACAATCAGCACAACCTCCCCCATATGCCGCCTCCACCACACAATCCAAACTTCAACAACCCTCCCTCTCACTTCCCCAGAGCTTCCGGTCTGGGAAGGCAGGGGTTCTCTGAGCCTCCAGGCCCGGGGAGGCAGGGATTCTCCGAGCCTCCTGGCCCAGGGAGGCAGAGATTTTCCGAACCGCTAGGTCCGGGACGGCAGGGGTTTTCCGAGCCTGGAGGCCCAGGAAGACATGGTTTTCCTGAGCTGTTGGATGATCGAAGGCACGGTTTTCCCGAGCCTCCTCCTCGGGGCATGGTGGGAGGTCCGAACGAACCCATGCCTCCGCCGCAGGTTCGGTGGCAGGGAGGTCCGGGAGAAGGCCCGGGACATCCAGGAGGGGGGATGGGAGGAGGGGGGAGAGGTGGGGGGAGAGGCGGAGGAAGAGGGGAAGGGAGAGGTATGGGGAGGGGCGAGTTTTCTGGGGCGGAAGGGGGAGGGATGAGGGGAGGGAGGGGAGGAAGGGGAGGAGGGAGAATGAGTCTAGGAGGTAGAGGGAGGGGTGGAGGGGGGAGAGGAGCAAGTGGAGGAGGAAGGGGAGCAGGAGGCAGGGGAGGAGCGGGAGGAGGAGGAGGAGGACCAGTGGCACCCACTGCAGCGGCTGCAGCAGCGGCAGCGGCAGCAGAAGCAGCAATGGCAGTAGCAGCAGCATCTCAGCAAGCGAGGAGAGGGAATGATGGGGGAGGAGAGGAGAGAGGAGACAAAAGCCCTCCTAGAAGGCGACAGAGATTGGACGACTGAAGTAGAAACCACACATGGTTGGATGAGGGTTGACTGAGATAGCACCCTTAGCCCAAGGGTTGGGTCTCTAGAAGTTAATAGAGAGGTCCTGATTCGGGCTCTGAACCAGTAAGGGGGTACTAAAAAACTTCACCATACCTTCTCTTAAAGGAGTCGTACTAATTGTACATGGTTTCTTTATCTTGGGATTTAAAAGCACAATCTTAAAAAAGCATGGCTGTAGTGGGTATGGATGTGTGGCAGACATGAATGCTCTGCCACGCCAGTCTGACATGGATATTTTGAATCTGCACTTGTGCTGAGTAGACCAGCGTTTTCCGATGGACATCGTGAAATCTTCGAGCCGTGGCCCCTTCGTGGAGTGATTTATGACGTGGTCACACGTGGCTAATTTCTGCCGCAATTTTTTTACATGGTTGGGTTTGCCGAGTTCTGCCCATGAATTTGCGAATTTGTTGGGCCTTTTCTACAACCCTCGATAAGTGCCAACTGAACTGTCTATTCAGACACTTAGGTCCAAAAAAATGCAAGTTCTTGTTGCTCATCAAATCTTTGGAAGTCCATTATATGTACCCAGAAATCTGTACTTGACAGGGAAACCTGTTAAATCGTCCATGTCGTTTTCATCCCTCGACAACGAATCGCAGGTCTTCTCTATTAGACACGCTGTTTCGCGTTCGATGATTCGCAGACTCCACCACACACTCGGGCGGCGAATCGACGATGCGCGGAAGCACAATCCTTCTCGCTGGTTCGTTCGTTTGCGGCCGCAACTGCGCTCCCGCCAACGCAACCACCTCGTTTCGCTGACTGACCAGTTGAGTGGGTTCGGTACACCACACACACACAGCACACGGCACAGCATGCCAACCGAACAGAAGATGAGGCAAATGTATTACCTCATTTCTAGCCTCCATTCTCTCTGGACTTGCACCACTTTGAGTGCCGACAGAATACGTGCGAAGTTATTAATCTCACCTTTGTTTGCTCACCCAGCTGCTGCGTCTGCTTTCCTACTCACACTCCTTAGCTCGTGCCTTTCGGCATTGCGCACTTTAGGGTGCGGCTACTTGGCGGCAAGGCACGGTTAGGTACGATTGAGTACGGTTAGCTGCGGCCAGCGTCGCATTCAAGCGGGGTGTAACGAACCGGCTGCGATGGCGTATTCAGTGCGGTTGACCTCGATGGTCCCAACGGCGGGAGTTCGCCTCCCGCGGGATGCGGCGCGGTTAGAGTTCGCAGGCGGCATTTCCGGCGGTAAATGCGGAGCCGTCGATCGATCGCTGCGATGCATGCGAACGTGTCGTGCGACGGTTGAAACGTCGCATAGTCTACGAGTACGAGCCGCGCAGGGGTGTGGCAGCAGCTGCGACATTTTCGCGCCAGAGCTGCGAATGCCACGTGGCGATCCGGCCTCATCTACCGCCGCGGTAACGCATACGACGGCTCGGCGTACAGGCGGTGAGCTTACAAGCGCCGCGGCTCGATCTTGTCGACAGCAATCGGTACTTGCCGCTGAACGACCGCAGTGTTGGTTGGGGCGGGAATCGCGGCAAGATAAGGTCTGGCCGCGAGGCCCGCGGCAGGGCCAGTCGAGGTTCTTACGGCGGAATTTACGGCGGCTAACCCGGGGGTTTAGACACGTGACGATGTGTGCAGGTGACGAGGGGGCTGGTGATACTAACGAAAACGATGCCTTTCGCGTCGGCTCCAATAAGAGCGACAGAGCTCTTCGTCAGCCACTTTCGCGCGACGCACCGCCAAACAGGGCAGCTAGTAGCGCGGCGGGGGCGGCGCCTGTCAAAGATGCAACGGCGAGTTCTAGAAGCGGGGGCGGCACGATCCTCGGAGCCGTGGCGCTCATTATAGGAACATCCGTCGGCGCGGGTGTGCTGGCGCTGCCCGCGGAAACTGCTCCTGCGGTAAGCTTGTTGCGCGAGGTGTTGGCGGGGGGAGAGGGGGAGCGGATATGAGGATGTGAATAAGCCATATAGACTCCTATCCCTCTGCATCCCTCACCCTAGACTGCAGGAGTGAATATGCCTGCATCGCTCCCCCCATCCCTCGGTTTCCCACTTTCCCGATTCCCCTCTCCCCCCCTCCCATTCCGGGCCCCATCCCTCCCTCTCCTCCCATCCCTTCTCGAATGTATTTTCTCAGGGTGTGTTCCCTTCGTCGTTCGTGCTAATAGCCTGCTGGGCGTTCCTGTGTCTTGAGGCATTGCTGCTGGCGGAAGTCAACGTCGCTCTCATCAAGGAGCGATCCGTTAGTAGCAGCACCGTTAGCAGCAGCATGGCTACTAGCAGTACCGCTAGCAGCAGCAGCAGCAGCAGCAATAGCGGCACCATCAGCAGTACCGGAGCTGCAGGTTCGGAACAAGAGCCTGAGCGAGGCTCGGACGTCCTGTCGTACCGAACCATGGCCGAGGCGACTCTGGGTCCCGTGGGCGGCACTGTAGCTACAGTAGCATACGTGTTTTTGTCCTTCACCCTTATAGTCGCGTATTTCGCAAAAGGAGGGGAAGTTTTGGCGTTTGGTACGGGTCTGCCCAATTGGGTGGGTGCAGTGGGGTTCTTTTCGGTGCTGGGTGGTTTAATCTACAGCGGCAGCACCAGAACAGCGGATATCATTAACCGGGTATTGACAGCTGGTTTGCTGGGGATATTTACCCTGCTGGTCTGCGGAGGGGCGGCAATCGCGGACTGGGATGAGCTGGCAGTTGCTGATTGGTCAGAAATGCCGACCACTCTCCCCGTGATCTTCCTCGCGCTGGTCTTCCACGATTTGATTCCCGTGATCTGCACGTATCTGGACGCGAATCTGGGAAAGATTCGGGCGGCAATTGTGATCGGGAGTGCAGCACCTCTTACAATGTTTCTAGTATGGGACGCCATAGCTCTTTCCATCTCCCCTTCCTCCCTCACTTCGGCCGCTGCTGCCGCCGCTGCTGCTCCTGCCGGTGCCTTTTCCCTCTCCTCCCTCTCCTCCGCCGTCTCCTCTCTCTCCTCCTCCCTCTCCCACCTCGCCTCCTCCCTCCCCTCCTCTCTCTCCACCGCCCTCTCCACTCCCTCACTCGCTCCCTCACTCACTCCCTCACTCCCTCACTCGCTCTCCACGCCCTTCCAAGACCCACTGAACCTCCTCCTGCTGCAAGGCTCGCCGCTCCAATCCTCCGTCGTTCTCGCATTCTCTTTCCTCGCCGTAGCAACGTCGTTCCTCGGCACATCACTTGCCCTAGCTGAATTTTTCATGGAGCAACTGGGATTGATCAGTGCAGGTGACAAGAAGAGGGATGAAGAGCAGCTGGGGTTGATAAGCGTGGGTGACAAGAGGAGAAACGAGGAACAACATGGGCTAATAGACCTGAAAAGCCAAAGGAATCAAGCTCAGAAGCAGCAGGAGACAGCAGTTACTGCTGTAGATATCGTGGGAACCGGATTAGGGTTTGTGAGGTCGCATGGGAGGGAGGTGGGGTTTCTTCTGGCCCTCTGCCCGCCTCTGCTGGTGGCTTTGGCAAACCCTGGCGCGTTTGTGGCGGCAAGCAAGGCGGCAGGCGCATACGGCATGACAGTGCTGTATGGCATCATGCCTCCATTGATGTTCTATGCGCATCACAAGCAGGTGGGTTGCTTCTCTCACCCTGTTATTGCCGATCCAAATCAAGGCGGCAGGCGCATACGGCATGACAGTGCTGTATGGCATCATGCTTCCCCTCATGTTCTACGCGCATCAAAAGCAGGTGGGTTGGGGGGAATGCAGGTGGGTTGGGAGGGATGCCTAGTGGGTGCTGATTGTGCCCAAGGCAGCAGGCGCATACGGCATGACAGTGCTGTATGGCATCATGCTTCCCCTCATGTTCTACGCGCATCAAAAGCAGGTGGGTTGGGGGGAATGCAGGTGGGTTGGGAGGGATGCCTAGTGGGTGCTGATTGTGCCCAAGGCAGCAGGCGCATACGGCATGACTGTGCTGTATGGCATCATGCCTCCTCTCATGTTCTACGCACATCACAAGCAGGTGAGGAAGGTGGGGTGCGGTGGGGTGTGGTGGGGTGGGGTGGGATGGGGTTTCTTCTAGCCCGCTGCCCGCCTCTGCTGGTGCATCTGGCGAATCCGGCCGCGTTTGTGACACCATGGTAATCCTTTCTTGCTAGCAAGGCAGCCTCAAAACGGAAATCCTTTCTGCTCTCCCTCCTCCTCTCCCTTCTCCTTCACATTTCCCTCCTCGCCTCCAGCTGCCTGTATCCTGGCCTTGTACCAAGCAGGAAGCAATAGTGTGCGACCCAGCAACCAAGGATTGCTCAACACACCATCGCTGGTTGGAGCCTGGGGGCAGCTTTGCCCTGGCCAGCATGGGAGCCTGCGCTTTCTCCGACCCTAACCTGGCTGGCTGCATTCCCTCCTTCCACCATGTCCCAAGCAGGAAGCAATAGTGTGCGACCCAGCAACCAAGGATTGCTCAACACACCATCGCTGGTTGGAGCCTGGGGGCAGCTTCGCCCTGGCCAGCATGGGAGCGTGCGCTTTCTCCGTCATCGCGGGGCAAGCCCTGCTCGATTCTTCCCTTGACACTTCCTTCCTGTCGTCGCGTGGGGAAGGAGCATCGTTTGTCCTCGCTCAGAGCGACTCGGTACTGGATAACAGCGCACAGCAGTGTGGTTCTGTAGTGGGTGCCAACAGCGGTGGCGATATCATCGTAAGCAGCACCACCAGTAGCAGCAGCAGCAGCAGCAACAACAACCACATCAACGACAGCGGTAACAGTCCCAGCAGCAGCAGCAGTAGTGTCGACCCAGCTTCTTGCTCTGGCCCAGCAGCAGTAGCAAACAGCCCTGCTGCTGTAGCTGATAATGCTCGTGCGGTCAACCCGCCTCTTGTGTTCGCGAGCCAATCTGCTCCTGACACGTCAGACCTGCACATGCCTTTGCCTGACAGTCCAAGTGTTGTTGAGATATGAAGCATGTTTTGCTCTTGTTCTCACCTGAAGTGTCATCAGTGATGTGCTTGATAGTCATTTAGTTGTGGTTGCAATGTTCACATGTGATAAGTACACCTTCACAGTACATGGTAAAATGTTAAAATTTGGGAATTGGAGAACAAGAATGTGAGTTTGTTCACAACTTCAGGGCCAGTGAAATATCTGAGATGGATGTATGTAATGTGATGTAGAAGGAAGAGGCTGTATGCTTCAGGTGTTTGCCAATGGTGATCCTTTTGTTGCTGTTTGAACAGTATATATTGAAATTAAATCACTTTGATATGTACAGGGCAAGAAGTGTTTCAATGCAGGGTCCTACTTGCCTATCTCTTGCACATCACGCTCTAACCTACCTGTACAAGCAAACTACTCAACAAATCACGAAGCCACTTGCAGGCGCTTATGCACCCGCTTCTACAGTTTTCTCCACCTTCAAATGTCCACAATCAGGGACTCCTGTGTCGAATCAAACGCGTCAAGGTCTGACATCGTGAACGTCAGGCACTGCGAAGAGTGCGAAACGGGTAACGGAGCCAGCATGGGGTTCGTCGAGGCAGACTCCCGAAGATTCAAGAACGCATCGTGCTGGAGATCAGAGGTTGGAGGGGCGGTCATGCAGCTGGCAGCCAGTGATTGGCTAGCGTAAACGAGGGGAGGGGCCTCGAGGGTACCAGCCGCAACCGGGCTTCGGATTGTCGCCACAGTGAGTTGGCTTCTAGAGGGAATGTCAGCCATGGAATCACGATCGCCTTGGGCCAAAACAATCGACGGTTGGGGAGAAGCGAGCGAACCAGGTGAAATCACGGATGCATCGATCACCGCTTGACCCGCGATCACAGCACACGATAACCCGCCCATGCTGGCCAACGCGAGGCTGCCACCTGGCTGCACCCAGAACGAACCTCCTGCCGAACCGGTCGCCTTAGCCTCGTTCTCCGCCTTCTGCTTGTGATGCATGTAGAACATCAGGGGCGGCAGAATTCCGTACAATACCGTCATGCCGTATGCACCTGCCGCCTTGCTCGCCGCAACAAACGCCCCCGGATTCGCCAAAGCTACCGCGAGAGGCGGGCAGAGGGCCAGAAGGAACCCCACCTCTCTCACATGCGACCTAACGAACCCTAATCCGGCTTCCTTAATATCAACCCCGCTAGTACCACCCTCCTGCTGCTTCTGCTCCTGATCCTCCGCTTTGGTCTCCGCGGCTTTCCCGCCGAAAACCAGGTTACCAATCTGCTCCATGTAAAACTCCGATAGAGCGAGCGAGGAACCGAGGAATGACGTGGCAACGGCTAGAAACGAGAACGCGAGGACGGCGGCTGATTGGAGGGGGGTGGCCTGGTGCATGAACAGCTGGAAGGGGTCCTGAGCGGGGAACGCGAGAGCTGGAAGCGCGGGGGCTGAGAGCGCGGTCGCTAGAGACGTAGGGAACGACGACGCGAGATTCGCGAACGAAGATCCAACGGCGGAAACGGACGAGAGGACGGACGAGGCGAGATCCCCGGCGTTAGCGCCGGCAGCGGCTCCGGCGGCGCCGGCGGCGGCGATGGAGGACGGCGAGATGGAGAGCACAATGGCATCCCAGGTTAGAAACATCGCGAGCGGCACAGAGCTGCCGACGAGGAGCGCGGTGCGGATCTTCCGGAGATCCGCGTCGAGGTACGCGCAGAGGACGGGGACGAGATCGTGGAAGACGAGCGCGAGGAAGATGACGGGGAGCGTGGATGACATGTCGGACCAATCCGCGAAGCCCAGCTGGTCCCAGTCGGCGAGGGTGGAGCCTCCGCAAACCAGGGCCGCGAAGATCCCTGAGAGAGAAGGAAGCAAAGGAAAGAGGTAGAAGGTGGAAAAGCATGAGCGCCCAGTGTCATATCATGGAAGGTTCAAACTGGGCAGATGAAACACAACAAACAACAATGCGTGGTCGCTTTCAAACACGAAGGACCAGTTCGTACCAAGCAGGGCGGCGGTCAGAGCTCGGTTGACCAGGTCAGCAGTGCGCGTGTTTCCACAGTAGATCAAACCGCCGAGCACCACTGCGAACCCCGATGCACCGAGCCAACGCGGCAGATCCGTCCCCAACGACATCACTTCGCCGCCCTTGGCGAAATACGCCACCATCAACGTAAACGACAAGAATAGATACGCCGCGGTTGCGATCGTGCCGCCCAGCGGCCCGAGTGTCGCCTCGGCCATGGTTCGGTAGGAGAGAACGTCCGAACCTCGCTCAGCCTCGGCATCGGAAGACGAAGATGCGTTAGCGGTCTTGCTTTTATCGGACCGCTCCTTGAGCAGAGCGACATTGACTTCGGCCAGCAGCAGCGCCTCGAGAACGAGGAAAGCCCAACAGCCGATGAGGACCATGGACGAGGGGAAGAAGCCCTGAAACAAGAGAAGCACGGGCAGAAAGAAATAAAAAAACAGAAACGAAACGGACAAGAGAAAATAATAGAATCGGCAAGACCCACTTCAGCCCCCCCAACCCTACTCGCCATCCTTCCCACCCCCCACCCTATTTCCCCCCGCCTTTTCCCCCTCCCCTCCCTTCCTCCCCTTCCCTTCAACCCGATCCCCTGAGCGGAGGTCCTTTACTTACTGCAGGAGCGGTTTCGGAAGGCAAGGCCAGCACGCCCGCGCCGACGGACGAGCCAATAATGAGCGTGACTGCACCGAGAATGGTGCCGCCTCCGCTCCGCGACGCAGGGGGGTCCGAGGGGACCGAATCCTTCGCTACATCCTCGCGCGAGCAATCACTTCTATCTCCTGCGACGGATGCCCGCACTTCATGCCGTGAAGTCCGGAGGGCTAGTTGGCGGCGACGAAAAGATTGCTGCAGAGAGGGCAATCCCCTTTGTTCAACGTTTATGAAGCTAGACGAAAAAGCTCGAGCTGATCCAAGCCCGGTTCCGATCATCGCGGAAACTGCCGTGGCGTCGCCACGTGGCAGTCTGAGAAGCGAACCCTGCGGCACGTGCAGCTGTCGCGAGCTGGGGCCGTGGGGAGCGCATGTTGTGGTAGCGCTGCTAAGCGCACGCACGGTAGACAGGCAAGCAGTCGTCGTTCCAGCGGTAAGAGCCATGATTGGACGTGTTGGGTGGTCAAAGAGTCGTGTTCGATATGGAAGCTCAACAAAAGCTCTCGGTTTGTCGGTTCGCGGTAACAAAGCGAACTATACAAGGGGTTTGTAGGCTCAAGCGCTGGAGCGAAGGTAAGGTGCGATGATCTGGTTTGGTTGGGCTAGGAAGGTTTCTAATGCTGTACAATACTGGTGTAGGAGAAGTAGGACTCTATTTATAGTGGAATCCAGAGCCCGCTGTTCAATAGACGTTCAATCTGGACTCGATCTGCCTGGTCAGTCAGCGCGAGAGGGGCGGGCAGCTGGGGGAAGCTGGTCGGGGCGAGCGAGGGATGGGGGGAAGGAAATGCAGATGCGGAATGGGGAAAAAGTAAGGGGGGAGGGGGGGAAGGAGGAATGGGGGAAGTGGTGGGGAACTTGATTCTTGAGTCTCGATGGACAAAACAACACCTTTTCCGCAGATCGGGCGGACTCGCGCAGCAGTGGCGGATTCTGGATTCTCGAACCGCAGCAGCACTGCCCAGAAGGAGCTGGACAGGAGGAGCGTTGGCGCGGAAGTGCGCGCGAGAACTGCAAGGGCAGAACCACACGAGTGCTCGCAAAAACTGCGGGGAAACGGCCCCTCGCGGTTGGGGAAGCTGGAAGGAACTGACGTGGACTTGCGCCCCCGCGCTAGTTTGTCCCAAGGCGCAAGCCCGCACAGGTCGCAACCAGAGGCCACCGCAGTCTGGCCCTCTTGTCGCGCGGTAGGTTTCGAATGGATGCGGAGGAAGCGGGGAAGGGAAAAACTTGTGGCGTTTACGGCACGAGTGTGGCCAGCTAGCCAATCACGGAGCGATCTGAGGGCTCGTGTGTGTGGTAACCTTTGATCAACCAACGAAAGCCATAAAACGAGGCTCGGCCGGTGACACAAACCTGATCTCATCCAGTGAGAGTTCAGGATAAGAGTCTAGTCATACCTCTTCAGATAATGAAGGGTCACTTATAACCACGTTCTTGGGTATGTTTCCTGTAAGCTGTGTGTTACTGGACACACGAAGATCCACGCTGGCTGTGACAGAAAATTGGCGCGTGTGTCATGTTTCACACTCCTCAGCAGCTTCTGATGCCTCTGGTTGGCTATAAATTCCACGTCACTACATCTCCACCAATAGAATGTCGATTTTACAAACCAATCGAATGTGGCATGTGGAACGCCAGACCAATTGTGACGATGCACACCTTCACCAGAAACAACTCGCTACTAGCAACAAACGTGACTCAGTTGACACTGGAATGGAAAGCAGGGGTGGGTGGTTCTTGGAGAAAATTGTACATTAGTTTTCAAGTCCTCAGATTTGTGAATACCCAGTTTAGTGTAAAAGCTGAACTGATAGTGTCTCAGAATGATAGTGATACACAAAATAAATACAACTGATTATATACTAAGATCCATAATCATCTTCATCCATATGGTACCACCACCACAGGTGGAGAAAAATACAAGCACATCTGAAAATACTGCCACAAGAGGGCTTAATTCCTGAACCACATGATTTGCAATGAGATATTGCTTAGGCTAGTGAGTGGTGCTTAGGCTAGTGAGTGGTGGCCAGGCCAGGCCACGTTATTTCTCATGGCATTCACCTTGAGAGAGAGGAGCTTCCTGTGAGTGTTTTTTGAGCCTGCCGACTCGCTGACAGCTGAGAAAATCTAGCAAGCTCAGCTAGGCAATCATTCGCGTCATTTATTCAGCCATCCCCTCTCCAGAAGCTCAGCTGCCAGTCTCTTGCTCTGTGGGTCTTTCCCAAGCAGCATTTCCTGCACACCACCTCTGCAAAATGTGAGACGCCACATCCCATGCCCAAAACTCGGTTTTCCCCATCTTTGCACACTGACCAATGAACAAGCAATGACTAGGGTTACTTGAAACATTCTTTAGGGGGGCGAACAGTGCTGAAACATTGGAACACATGTCAGAAACTATGTCCCCCCTTCCCCATTGTCTCTGCAGCTTCTAGCAGTTCGCAGTCGAACCCAGCCCCGCACGTGCCAATTTCGATTGATACAGCAAATCTATTTCGGTTATGCTGGATGTAGAGTGGTGCACATGCTCTTCCGAATTTTCACGAACCCAGGGAATCTGAAATCGCGGATGCTGATGTTTCATCGCGTGATAACAAACACAACTATAGCGAGAATTGAACCAGATAAGATGTTGCTGACGCGTCAGAAACAGTCACCCTGAAGGTGCGGTGTCCACCATCAGATGTGACAGCGCTGATGGGTTTGGCCTGGTGTGGCGAACAGACAACCCCAAAAAACCAGGTCGCCAACATTTCGACAATCTTCGCGTGCGACCCAACACCGTGCAGAAGTTGACATTTCTCTCCCTCGCCACTCAAAAATCACCAACACCTCAGCATGCTTTCATTTTCACTTGTGAAGATTTTCATGCTCCATTTTCTACACTCTCTTAGCTTGCACGGTTCCATGGCTGCTGCATATCTGTTCCTTCCTTACGCAGACGTTCCTGAAATGTGTATCTATTCTGTTCTTACGTCCTCCCTCCAGCAGGATATAAAATTACCGCTTTGGCGCACGATTTCTGCCGTGAACTTCGCCCAGGCTGCACGAATCTCGCGGTGACGCTACCGTCTCACGCCATACGCTCGCTGGTCTAGTTATATGCAACATAAGGTGAGTTTCTGTCCCAGCCAAGAACGCATTGGCTAATTTAACCTTGTTACTGCCTATTTCGTTGCAGAGTACAAGCGCGCATGATTACACTCTATACCAGCGACTTCCGACATTATCGTCAAGCCTCCGAGAATACCGTCGCCTAATTGTATTTACTTTTCAGAAGACTTATCGCCATATTTTCACCAAGGTTATCACGGTTCCTGGAGGAGTTCCCAGCGACTCATAAACCAACCACATGAATGGCCTACTTTATCGGTAGGTTCACGTTCGTTTTATGGCACGTTACCATTGCTGTGTTGACCCAACGCTGCTGCGTGTGTTGCTGATGAGTGCAGACCCCTCGTCATGCCCGAAATAAGCTGTTTATTAATGCATGATACATATGTGTTGACTGTATGTTGTACGTGGGTATATTGTAGGAAGTCCGTTTCTGCTTTTCCGTGACAAGGCAGACCTGCTATTGTGGTTATGGTTGTTATTGGTGTACGGTTGAGTTGAAGTATATGAGATACGGATCATTTCATTTTTTTAGCAGAGAATGAATTTCATTTCATTGTAACGATTTGATAAGACCCATATCCATTTTGTAAGCTGTACTGTATTTTGTGTTTTGCCTTTTCTTGTTGAATATAAAAAGTTTCGTGTATTGTGATAGTGATCCGTTATTAACAGGCGCTTAATGATTAGTTCAGTTGCTATAGTGAGAATAAGCAATGCTGGCAGCATGCTGGCGCACTGCTTGCCGAACCTGCTGAAGAGTGCTGAAACAAACCAATCAATGATTCCTCCAAGAAACGTCAACTGTTCAGCATTCATCATGATAAACCACGAGCATTGACGGCAGGGGAAAACTTCAAGCAATCCCCATGAAATCCTTTAGCATTCTCTTTCCTTCTTGAATTTTGTAGAGGAGCTTCAATAGCTTCTCCTTCGCGCGGTCGCAGTGTTACGTCGCAAAATGCCGCGCCTCGCATTTCCTCGACTTTCCGAACGAAGTATTTGAGCTTGACTAGTTTCGCTTCGGCTTCTTTCACTCGGAGCTCAGATTGCGCGACTTTGTCAAGCAAGTCCTTCCGCGCTGCTTGACAGGAACTGCAAACATTGTTGATGCAATCCCTGTGCTGGTAGCAAAATTTGCATGTGGCATATGGCATGATAGCATATGCCAGAGCATATGCTTAGGGGAAATGACAGTAGTACGCACCAGAGCAGCAAGTGTCTCATGTCACTGGTCCGCCCCGACATGTCACTGCTTAGGGGAAATGAAAGTAGTACGCACCAGAGCAGCATAACCAAACTTGCGAAGTGCAATTGGACTTTCAAAAATCGATCAGGCATGTCGTCGAGTTTCCCAGTAACCGAGTATACTTTTTTGCGAAACAAATCGACCGTGTCTTCATTGCCACAAGCCACCTCGTGCAGCTGTGCGCATTATTCGCCACGTCGTCGCACTAGGAGCACAACTACCTGCACAAGAAGCGCAGCGACACAGGCGGGCGACTTGCGAGCTACTGCGACGGTGGTGGCGTTTGTGTGGCGAGTTTTGCGACACAGCTCTGCTCGTTATTGTCGCAACGCGATTCAATGTGTTAACTCGGAAAGAAGTTGAGGTGTGATTTTGGCCTTTTATACATGTTATGTGGAACGCTCAACCACTAGAAATTGCAGACAATTTCATTGGCATATTGACTCTAGAACAGGATTTTCTTACAGATTTTACCTTTCACCAGTTCTTTTCTCCCAAATATGTCATGAGCATCGGTATGAGAGCAGGCCCTCAGATATCAGGAAAAAAAACCCTGAAATTCCTGATTTTCAGGGTAATTTTTTGTACCTACACTGATTTTTCAGTGTTCAGATTTTAGAGGGACTGATATTTCAGCCTTTTTTTCTCTAAGAGGACTGATTCTTCAGCTTTTTATCGAAGTGTACACTGAATGCACATTCCGAATCCCTGCTGTGAACACCCGAGATTACTAGTTGTGAGCCATTTCTTCGACATCGAACACACATTATACTTGAAAATCCAGAAGACAATAGCTTACACTGTCTCAGTTGTTAGCTATTTTCTGTCGGAGGGTAGAGTCCACGGTTCAAGTCTCGAGGCATGCACTTTAATCTCAGATATGCCTGAGTGAAACCAGGCATTATTTAAATGAAACCCTGATAGGGACCCTGATGCATCAACGTCCCTAAAAGTGAATCTGAGGCCCTGTATGAGAGTAACATGACCCCACCGCGTTTGCAAGGTTATTCAACCCGAACAAATAACACCTGTTTCCGTAATCCAATCCATCATACACACATAACCAAAGTTTCCTATCCGAAGGACTACAACCACTCCCAGTTTGGAAGAGCACCCTACCTGCACATGCCCACACACCACACAAATCCATGAATTGACATCCAGTAAGCACATGCTTCGATGGGCTGAGCTGAGCAACACATGCTCCGATTCACCTCTAAACTTGGACACCAAACAAGGGGGCAGACCAACCAAACCAACCTCCGATTTTTGAGTAAACTCAAACGTCGTCTCTTTGGAGGCGCCTCAAGAGACGACATTTGAGATGCCTCACAAACCTCCTAGCCCACTCCTTGCCCTGTCCTCAAAGACCCCCACCCTCATGTCAACCCATTTCCCCCCCCTCTCCCTCTCCCCCCGCCCCCCCTCTCCCCCTTCTCACCTGAGCTGGCTTCTGCAGCACAAAAGACCGGTGCATCGAGCAGCACCAGGATTCTGTCTCCATCATCTGCACAGATACATCTGTATCAAAACACTTCTTCCAGGAGCGCATTTTGAGACGTCTCAAAACACTTCTTCATACACGTAGCACCAGGATTCTGTCTCCATCATCTGCACAGATACATTCGGCCCCCTTCTCATCCATTTGAGATGTTCGATGAACTCTGAAGGGCTTCTTCCCCCAGCCAGAGTCATCTTTCGAACCACCGCCACCGCTCCTTCCTCTCCCTCTATCCCTTGCACTCTTCCGCTGTTGAGACGTCTATAAAACCACGATGATCTCGGATGCTCCATCCTTGGATGTTCGATGAACTCTGAAGGGCTTCTTCCCAAAGCCAGAGTCATCTTCCGAACCACCGCCACCACGCCTTCCTCTCCCTCCATCCCTTGCACTCTTCCTCTTTTGAGACTTCTCAAAAACCACGATGACCTTGGATGCTCCATCCTTGGGTGTTCAACGAACTCCGAAGAGCTCCTTCCCCCAGCCAGAGTCATCTTCCGAACCACCGCCACCACTCCTTCCTCTCCCTCTATCCCTTGCACTCTTCCTCTTTTGAGACTTCTCAAAAACCACGATGACCTTGGATGCTCCATCCTTGGATGTTCGATGAACTCTGAAGGGCTTCTTCCCAAAGCCAGAGTCATCTTCCGAACCACCGCCACCACGCCTTCCTCTCCCTCCATCCCTTGCACTCTTCCTCTTTTGAGACTTCTCAAAAACCACGATGACCTTGGATGCTCCATCCTTGGATATTCGATGAACTCTGAAGGGCTTCTTCCCAAAGCCAGAGTCATCTTCCGAACCACCGCCACCACGCCTTCCTCTCCCTCCATCCCTTGCACTCTTCCTCTTTTGAGACTTCTCAAAAACCACGATGACCTTGGATGCTCCATCCTTGGGTGTTCGATGAACTCTGAAGAGCTCCTTCCCCCAGCCAGAGTCATCTTCCGAACCACCGGCACCACGCCTTCCTCTCCCTCCATCCGCATAATCCTCCTCACACCACGACGGCCCTGGTTCTCAATGAACAACGAGGTCTCGATAGACTCTAAAGGGCTTCTTCCCCCAGCCAGATTCATCTTCCAAACCACCGCCACCACGCCTTCCTCTCCCTCGTCTGCTGCAACCTCGCAAGCAAGCGTTGACGTTCCGCCTTTTCTTTGGCAGTTTGAATCTCGTCCTCCCTGGCTGCCCCTTGCTCCCTGCTTCCGCCACTTTCCCTGCTTCCCTCTGTTTCTCTGCTTCCCTCTTCCTCCCTGTACCACTCTCTTGCAAATTTCTCTATGCTCGTCCCCGCCTCTTCAACCACCTCTTCATTCCACTCTTCACTCCCATATTCTCTTCTCCTTTCTCTTCTCTCCTCTCTCCTCTCTTCCTCTCTTCCACGCTCTTCAGTTCTATTTGAATCTTCCTTCACCGCCTCTTCTTTCCTCTCCTCCTCCTTCCTCTCCATCTTCCCATTCCTCTCATCCCTTTTTCTGTCCTCCTCAGCCCCCCATTGCCTGCTTCCTTCTCCTATGCCTTCCCCTTCAATCCTCCTTCCTTTCTCAACGTCTCCCTCTGAACGATGATTACTCGAACCCTCTCCTCTCCCCTCCTCTCTTCTTCCTCCTTCCTCCCTTCCCCCCACTTCTCTCTCCATTCCCTCCTCCTTCCCTCCCGTCTCCTCACTCGTCCCCCCTTCCCTCCCCCCAACTTCTCTCCCCCCCTCCTCCTCTCCTCGCCCTTCCTCCCTCCTCCCAGCCTCCACCCACCCCTCTTCTCGTCTAACCGGCTTCTCCAGCAGGCAGTTCAGGTACACATGAGGCCCTTTGCGTTCCCCCGGGTCTGGTTTGGGCAGCACACGCCAGTGCAGGCGGTTGTAGCTGAGGAGGTTGAGGATGGCGACATAGACCGGAAACTCGTCCAGAGGGGCGTAAAACATCTCCAGCCAGATCACACCACCTGAAGGTGGGGGAGGGCAGGGGAGGGAAGGGGAGGGCAGCACGCGCCAGTGCAGGTGGTTATAGCCGAGGAGATTGAGGATAGCCACATAGACCGGAAACTCGTCCAGAGGGGCGTAAAACATCTCCAGCCAGATCACACCACCTGAAGGTGGGGGAGGGCAGGGGAGGGAAGGGGAGGGCAGCACGCGCCAGTGCAGGCGATTGTAGCCGAGGAGATCGAGGATTGCGACATACACTGGGAACTCGTCAAGGGGAGCATAGAACATCTCCAGCCAGATGACACCACCTGGGAGCGACAGGGGGGAAGGGGGTAAACAGGGGAAGGGGGATAAACATGAGGCCCTTTTGAATCCCTCAGGTCTTTTGGCTTTGGCAGCATACGCTGCCAATTCAGGTACACATGAGGCCCCTTGTGTTCTGCTGGGTCTGGAGGAGCCAAACGACACTACCTGGGAGCGAGAGAGGGGGAAGGAGGAGAGCGCACGCAAGGCCCCTTATGCCCCTCTACACGCCAGTGCAGTCGGTTATAGCTGAGGAGATTGAAAATGGCGACAGGGTGCTTTTGAGACTTCTCAAAAACACCCTTTTGAGAATTCTCAAAAACACCCTGGAGCAGTCGGTCATAGCTGAGGAGATTGAGAATGGCGACATACACTGGGGACTCGTCCAGAGGCGCAACCTAATCCCATCCTCCATCTAGTCGCACCACCCCATTCAAGTCTGAATGGTTACTAGCATAAGGAGGTTTCTAAAAAGGCTCACTGACTCTGAGCACGCGGTCCCACTCAAAGAGCAGCTCTTCAAAATCGAGCATGGGCAGGTACAAAATCGAGCATGGGCAGGTACTTGACGCTGTTGACGCTGTGAAGGGAATGGTTGTAACACGGTTACCACTTGGTTACCAATGTAAGGACTCACCGACTCTTAGCACGCGGTCCCACACGAAGAGCAGCTCTTCAAACTCCAGCATGGGCAGGTACTTGACGCTGTTGACACTACCAAGTGCATACCACACGTACGGTTACCATATGGCAAGGTACTGTGAAGAATTTACCAACTCTGAGCACACAGTCCCTCCCACTCGAAGAGCATCCCTTCAATGTTCGAGCATGGCCATCAGTGTAACCATGGGTACTTGACACTGATCACACTGTTCTGTTAAGGGAATGATACCCATGGTTACCACTTGGTTACCACTTGGTTAACACATGGTTACCGATGTAAAGACTCACCAACTCGTAACACACGGTCCCACTCGAAGAGCATCTCTTCAAACTCCACCACGGGCAGGTACTTGACGCTGTTGATGCTGCGGAGTGCATGGGATGACACGGTTACCACATGGTTACCACATGGTTACCAGCAAAAGGACTTACCAACTCTGAGCACACGGTCCCACTCAAAGAGCATCTCTTCAAACTCCAGCATGGGCAGGTACTTGACACTGTTGACGCTGTGAATGATGTCCAATGCGCCGTCAAAGAAGGGCAGGTGGGCCTGATGACGGGCGAGAGAGGGAATGGTAGGAGGGGGGATGGATCATGGAGAGAGGGAGATGGTACTTGACGCTGTTGACGCTGTGAATGATGTCCAACTCGCCGTCGAAGAAGGGTAGACGAGCCTGATAAGAGACACAGAGAGCAGGGAGGAAGGAGGAAGGAAAGAGGGCCACTTGACGCTGTTGACGCTGTGAATGATGCCTGATGAGCCGTCAAAGAAGGGTAGGCGGGCCTGATGGGAGGACTTTTGAGAATTCTCAAAAGTCACTCCAACATTGTTGACGCTGTGAATGATGCCTGATGAGCCGTCAAAGAAGGGTAGGCGGGCCTGATGGGAGGACAGGGAGAGAGGGGAAATGAGGAGAGGAGAGAGGGAAGGAGACAACAGCACATCCACCTTGTGTAGCAAATGGAGACCGATGAGCCCTCTCAAGGCAATCGCCTCCATGCATGGAAGCCCCTGCTTGCGCCCCACCACAGTCTCCACGTTCATGGCCGTGGGGAGGATGGTCATGAGGATGGGCAGTGATCACGCTGTAGAGGGCCATGTTTGTAGGGTACAGAGGGCAGCGCATGCCACACAGCACACAGCAACCCACTCACCTTGTGTGGCAAATGCAGGGGAATCAGTCCTCTCAAGGCAATTGGCTCCATGTATGGAAGCCCCTGCTTGCGCCCCACCACTGTCTCCACGTTCATGGCCGTGGGGAGGATGGTCACAAGACTTATAGCACACAGCCGAGAGATCACAGCCCACAGCCCATAGCCCACAGCCACGCTCACCTTGTGTGGAAGGTGCAGGGGGATCAACCTCTTAAAGCTATCGCCACCATGTATGGAAGGCCCTGCTTGCGCCCCACCACTGTCTCCACGTTCATCGCCGTGGTGAGGATGGTCGCAAGGCTCTTCGCAAACAGCACACAGCCTACAGCCCAAAGCCCATAGCCCACTCACTTTGTGTGGTAAATGGAGACGAATGAGCCCTCCTAGAGCAATGACCTCCATGTAAGGCAACCCCTGCTTGCGCCCCACCACTGTCTCCACGTTCATCGCCGTCGTGAGGATGGTGCCAAGGTTTACAGCCCACACCACACAGCCCACAGCCCACAACCCACCCACCCACCTTGTGTGGCAGGTGCAGGGGAATGAGTCCCCTTAAAGCTATGGCCTCCATGTATGGAAGCCCCTGCTTGCGCCCCACCACGGTCTCCACGTTCATCGCCGTGGTGAGGATGGTCACATTGTAGAGGGCCATGTGTGCCGCAAAGCTGCCTGTGCCACCGCCTATGTCCAAGCCAAGCCTACAGAATGGAGGTGGGGTGAAGAGTGGAAGGAAGGGGAGGCACGTGGTGAGGATGGTCACGTTGTAAAGGGCCATGTGCGCCGCAAAGCTTCCTGTGCCACCTCCAATGTCCAAACCGAGCCTGCAGCCACGGGGTAAGGGAAAATGGGACAGGAGGAGGGGGAGGGGAGGCATGTGGTCAGAATGGTCGCAATGTAGAGAGTGCCATGTGCACTGCAAACTGCCTGTGCCTCCTCCGATGTCCAGGCCAAGCCTAGAGAGAATGTAATGTTTGTGGTCTGTATTTACATCCCACCCACCTGATGCTTCCCTGCTTCATTTTAAGCACATCCTCTATAGTCAACGATCCCCGGTATCGCACGCGCCAGCGATTCCTCTCGAGAGTGAGGTTGAAGCAGAGGCGGCAGTCCCCGACCACACGGGCGTTGAGGCAGGCGAAGGAGGAGCAGGCGTGGTGGTCCCACACCAGGGCTGTGTCTATTAGGGCGCTCAGATTGAATAGCGCCTGGGGGAAGGGCAGTGGCTGGGGTAGTGGGAAGAAGAGAAGACACATGGAGGAAGGCAGAGAAGGGAGAAAGGTCGGGTTGGGTTCAAGCAGATTTGGCAGTCCCCCAGGAAAGGAGAGCAGGCGTGGTGGCCCCACACTAGAGCCGTGTCTATGAGTGCACTCTGATTGAAGAGTGCCCGGGAAAGGGTAGAGACTGGGGGAGGGGGACGAAGTGAGCAGACATGGTGGTCCCACTGGGGTAGACGATGAGCGTTGGCTGCATGGCTGGTGTGCCTTAGTGGAACTAAGTGTGCGTGCGTATCCATGCCTTGAGAGTTGACAAGATGGCTCACAGGCTAATGCTTGGCTCACATTGATGGTTTGGTTGGTGGTGCGGGCGCGGCAGCGGCGTTGCGGCAGGGAGAAGCAGCGATGCTGGAAGATGAGCGACTGTGTGGCAAACCAGTCATCAGGGCACGCCCCACTGGCGTCGTATGTCGTGTATTGCCTGAGAGCCTCGTCTGATGCATCACACGTGTAGCCCTGGGGAGGAGGGGAGCAGAAGAGGGGAAGGGGTGGTGGAATCAGCTGGCAGTGGTGGTGGAAGATGAGGGCCTGGGTGGGGAACCAGTCATCAGGACACGCCCCACTGGCATCGTATGTCGTGTATTGCGTGAGAGCCTCGTCTGCTGCATCACACGTGTAGCCCTGGGGTTTTAACAAAAAAGAAAAAAACAGGGAAGGGAAGGGGTAACGGGGGAGATGGGGAAGGAATGGTGGAACCAGGAAGCAGCGGTGGTGGAAGATGAGCGACTGGGTGGGGAACCAGTCGTCAGGCCACGCCCCACTGGCATCATACGATGTGTATTGCCTTAGAGCCTCGTCTGATGCATCACACGTGTAGCCCTGAGAGAGAGATGAGAGTGAGGGGGGAGAAGAGACTGAGGGACTGGGTGGGGAACCAGCCGTCAGCGCATGGCCCACTGGCGTCATATGATGTGTATTGCCTGAGAGCCTCGTCCGACACATCACATGTGTAGCCCTGGGGGGTGGAAGAGGGGGGAGAACAAGGGATTGGGAAGCAGGAAAGATGAGAAGGGGTGGCGGAACCAGGAAGCAGTGGTGGTGGAAGGTGAGCGACTGGGTGGGGAACCAGTCGTCAGGGCACGCCCCACTGGCATCGTATGTCGTGTATTGCGTGAGAGCCTCGTCCGATGCATCACACGTGTAGCCCTGGGGTTGGGAGAGAGAACTTGCGGAAGGAGGGAGTGGGTGGCGTAGGAGGGGGCATAGGCACAGGGAGAGGGTGATGAATCAGTTGCTCAATGCAGACAGTGAGACATGGTCCACTGAGGGCCGCTGTGGGCCCTCAGTGAGACTTGTCATATGTCATGTATTACCCGAGAGCCCCAAACCCTTGATGAGTGTTCTGGAGCCATGCCACCCACAGTGCCTTGCCCATTGACCCGCCATCCCATGCACGAAAGGACACCAACCCCACAACCCCCTCCCCTCCCCTCCACTCACCTTCCACACCAGTGTCCCCTGCTGTGCCACAATGCCATGCCCGTTGCACCACCCACCCATGCACGATGGAACAACCACAGCCACCTCCAGACCCACTTTTACCTCCACCCTGACCCCCACACCCTCATCCCCTCCACTCACCTTCCACACCAGTGTCCCCTGCTGTGCCACAATGCCATGCCCGTTGCACCGCTGCACTGTCATCTGTGCCTCGTGCATCGACTGTGGTGGGGCGAACGGGGGAATGAGAAGCAGAGAAGGAAAGGGGCAACACATTGCTGTCCGTTGCACCGCTGCACTGCTGCACCATCATTTGCGCCTGCATTTGGCCTCGACTTGTGCATATACTGGGCAATGCAGCGTCACATCACTGGGTTTTGACTACTTTTTATCCACCGCAACAATCGTCTCAGAAACCTTGCCTTGCGCACTGGGGGCGTGAAGCCTCACCTGGTTTTCACAGGAATGCTTTCTTTTGAATCAATGGCTGCTCCGCTCAGTTTTTTGAGAATTCTAAAAAAAACACGCCTTGCGCACTGGGGGCGTGAAGCCTCACCTGGTTTTGGCAGGAGTGCTTTCTTTTGAATCAATGGCTGCTCTGCTCAGTTTTCCAAGGCACCTCGCTTCATATTGAAAACAGGCGCCGTGTGCAACTGCCAACTGGGGAAGAAGGCCTCACCTGGTTCGATAGAAACAATGCTTCCCAATTGGCATCAGCTCTGCTCAGCTTCTTGTTCAGCACGTACTTCTCTCGGCTCACCCTCTTGCTCTCCGCCTGCCATAATGCATCACGCAATAAGGGGTACACCAGAATAACAATCAGATCTTGAAATATTGAGACTTGAGAAGCACAGTGAGGGTTTCGGGTTTAAAGCAACAACAATCAAAGTGGGCCCTTGCAGTCTCTGAAATAGAAAGAACTGACTGGTTCCAGGGTTCAGGGTTTTGAGTTTCTGTCAAAGAGCTCACCTGCTCATCCACTGAGGCGTGACTCACTGTTCATCCCCTCTACTACATGACTCACCTATTTCTCTGCAATCTGCCCCATAAGCCTCTCCAATTCCACTATCAGCTCCCGTAGCCTCACAACTAGCGGGTCACAGCACGTGTCCCCCTTGTGCTTGCCTCACCTGGTCTTCAACTCTAGCTCACCTGTTCATCAAACCTCACCTGTTCATCAAAACTCACCTGTTTCTCTGCAATCTGCCCCATACGCCTCTCCAGATCCGCTGTCTGCACCCTAAGCTTCAGCACCAGCGGGTCACAGCATGGCGCAGATTCCTGCAGAAGCTTCCTCGACCCCTCCAACTCACTCCCAGAATCTCCTCCTCCTGCATTCTCGTCCATCTCACCGCCCTGTCCTGACTGAAATCCCTGGAGCTTCGAGTCTTCTCCATCGTTATCACTCGTGCACGGCACGCAGTCTGCAAGCCTGGCGCGGGTCTGGCGTCGTTCTGCTAATCTCCTTCTCACCCGGGCTTGCCCGTGGCTCAGAACGAGCTCTAAGTCATCAGAGACGTGGAACTGTTTGCTCTCCCCATCCGTCTCCTCTTCACCCTCATTTAAACTCCTGCTTTCCTCCTTCTCATCCCCCTCCTCTTTGTCCCACTCGTCGTCACCTTCCTTGTCCTCCTGCACATTCCTATCCCCTTTAAAGCTCATGCTCTTTACCCTCCCTTTCTCACCCTTCTTCTCCACCTGTTTTTCACGCCCTCCGTCATTCTCCTTGCCCAATTCACCATTCCCATCCCGACTGAACCCCCCTTCCAGGCCCCGCAGGGACCAGGAGTCACCCAGCCTGAAGGACCTTTCCGAAGCAGCACGCTTGGTTTGGTGCGGATCCGAAGCAGCAGGTGTGCTTCGGTGGGACTCCAAGCCAGCAGGATCGGCTTGACGACCTGGCGAGAGGGATAGATCCGGAAATTTGGGAAGGATGGCAAAAGGGGAATGTAAAATGGCAAGAGAGTGAGGAACCCTTACTTCCTTTGAAGGCTCCTGGGGACTCCAAAACCCGAACCCCCTAACGAAGTTGAAACTAAAACGAGGAGTGAGAGGGTGGATCAGTGGAGAAAGTGGTTCCTCTCCCAAAGGCCGTCATGCAAAGCTGTTAATTCTGACCTTGTCCCACTCAAAGCTCCTGACGCTTACCTGTAACCATCGCTTCAAAGTGAAGTGGTTTTTGAGTCGATTCAAACCTTACCTGGTCCAATTCGAAGCTCCTGATGCGTTTTCTGGAACCATCGCCTGAGATTCTCCAGCTCCTTCTGGCATTGCATCTCCCGGCGATTCGATTGGCTGGTGAACACCCTGAACGAGCGCGAAAACAGTGACAGTGAGCATCAGGCAAGGATAGGCGGAGAGCCGCCGGGGACGGAGGAACCGGGAAGGTGGGAGATGTATTTTTGAGAATGTCGTAACACATCCTTGAAACGTTTCCAGGCAATAAAGTAGGCTTACCTCCATGGCATCCAGGAACGGAAAACCCTTAGCCATGGTGTCGCCTCGGTGGATCGAAGAGCACTGGCAGAGGAGGAATCGGCTGAGGACGGTACCAGCCATGACTTTCCGGTTACGCAGGGTTCAATTAGCACCATGTGTGCTGCAAACACGACGACTAGCGCCAGGAATCTAACGTTCGCCATTCTTCTAAGCCTGAATCTTGGTTGATGGAAAACCATTCTCTTGCTGGCCAGAAGCTAAAAGGCCGGAAAATATCGCCAGCGGACAGAGTCTTGAACCACGAAATCCGACGATAGGTTTTGAATCTGAAAATGAACTCGCAACTCTGAAGGATAACTATCGCCTCGGTAGTATGCGAGGATTTCTATCGTCAAAACGTCTGTGACGTCAAATCGCGGACAGAAAATTCAGGTCAGCTCCGTTCTTCAGACCAGCGAAACAAGCCGTAAATCTTGCAGCTAGCGCGATCAGGGTGGGACCAAACGTACGATACCGGCTTGTATTTAAGCTGAACAATACCGTCGACGTCATAGTCAAGAACCAGGACCCTGCATTCTCGGATGTGTGCGCTGTGATTAGGTCCAACTAAGAAAGGATATTCTGACGGAAATGATAAATTCATGGTGAACCGACCAACCTCCGAGGTTGGAAAAGGGAAGCAGAGCCTATAAATGGACCGAACTAGACCATACGGAAACGTACGAAACCTCGCACTACACCGACTGTTCTTGTGGTGTGATGATCCGTTAGGGTCACACCGACGCTCCATCATCACACCAATCGCTGTTGCTGGTTTGCCTTGCCCCAGCCAAACCGAACATTCGTCGGATCGTCGTCGGATTCACGCGATCAGCGGCTGGGGGAGGCGTTGTGCGAAATTCATTCGGGACCAGCGCCGACGCTAGGAAGACCGCTTCGCGGAAAGGAAGCCAATCATTGTCGAAGAAGCAGCTTCGGATGGAACCTGTTTTCAGATTTTACCTAACCCGCTCTGGTTGGTTGGAAGAGGTTGCCACACACGACGTGGAAGCGCCAAGGACAAAGTAGACAACTCTTGATGGGGCTAGATCCGCGTGGAGAATGGACCCTTTATTGTTACAACTAGGATGTACATTTTATGAATCAGTCTGCATTTGATAAATAAAATTGCATAGTTTAGTAAGACCCATTGCCGCCACAATATAATTCATGTGTCTATGTAAATATTATTATTTTTTGATATCCCAATTTATGTTAACATATGAATGAAATTAAATAAATAGTATGATTTTGCATTTACAGGTAGTTGATCAGAATCTGTAATTTTTGTTTATAAATGATATCCAGAAATTTGAATCTCTTGAAGTATTATGATATTATGAACTAGACATGTACATCACTCTCGTAATGGTGCATCCATTGTGATTTGCATGTACGGACACATCACCAATGTCTGTGGAAGTTGTTGCATAACGGAATTTTTTTGTCCGAGATGGCTTCACGGTGACGATACTCGCGCATGGCACACAGGCAGGGATGATCGCACCCAAACTTTTGCCTCCGGATAGGCACGAACCAATCATCGTCCGAATCCACTTCAACATTCAAGCTTGCAAATGTTCAAAAATTCATCTCCATTTTCCCCACACGCAACCACGTCCAAAGGCGAGCAAGAGCCGAGGCGGATGGTTTGGAGAGGGGGGTCATGCGGAAACAAAAAGGGGAAGACGCCCGCTGTAGTAATTCGGGCGCATCCAGCCGTCCAAAAACACGCATCCAACGGCAACGATTGCCTTGTCACCCTTCATGTCCGACGGGAAATCTCGAGGTTTTTCCTTCAAGCACCACGAGATTTGTCGGGGGTGTTCAGGGGCTTTGATCAAGATGGTCAGCCATGGCCGATGCGTCGTCGTTCAGGGGTTCGTTGGTGTAGCCTAATGCGTTTCGGTCCCTTGCTGCTCCACCACTTAGTGGCTTCGATTAGAACCCAACACTCGGCGCTGTTTCCTCAAACTGCATTTCTAAAAGCCACACATTCTGTTCACAAACTCGCGTTGTGCGTGTGAGTGAGGTTTTGGCGTTCCAGCCAGAGCCGAAGCATCGTCACTGGTGGCGACGGCTTGAGTCTGTCTCTGGATCAGTCTCTAGGGTAGACCAGTTACCGATCCTAATTAGCCTGACCTGTTGGGAAGCCTTTTTTTGGATTCTCATTAAAGCGCTTACAAGGCGCTTTGGGCCTGGTTCAGGATCATTCTCAGTCTAGGCTATTTACCAGGCCTATAATAGCCTGGCGTTGTCGTGGCACCAGCTTGCGACTCGCCACGTCGACTACTGTCGTCTTCTAGCCGTCTCCCTCACTCCCAGTGAAAGGCCTCCATTGTACGGCTGTAGTTCCCTGATATCGGAGCGTTCACTACATTCATATTTCACACCCAGATCGTGGGACACCGTTCGTCCTGCGTCTGTTGCGCTCACTTTGGCCCCATAGCATCGTTCAGTCCTGATTAACTCCTTTTGTCGCGTGCTGCATTCCGCGGTTACAGCGACTTAAAAGAGCTCATTCGATATCGTTTGCTCGCGTTATAAGGGGTCTCACACCAAGGCTTCGCGTTCTCCTCGCGATGTACGTTGTCAAGCGCGACGGCCGGAAGGAGGCCGTGCACTTCGATAAGATCACCGCTCGATTGAAGAAGCTCAGCTACGGTCTCAGCACGGAATTCTGCGATCCCGTCTTAGTGGCTCAGAAGGTACGAGCCATCTCCTACATAATCAGTCGCTTTAAGGATCAGAAGGTGCGAGCCATACTTCGGATTCGCTTTTTGAACAGAACGTAAGAGCCGTCCCCGGGATAAGCAGTCGCTTTTAGGATCAGAAGGTACGAACCTTCCCTGGCTAAGCAGTGTTTTTCGGATGCACCAAATAAAGCTCCTTAATCTGGTGGATTATCCACTCGCGTCGCTTGCTGCCATCACTTCTTTATTGTCACCTTGCGGCCATCACCCCTTCAATGTCACCTTTTTGCTCTTTCACTGTCATCCTTGGAACGTTGCAAGAGCAAATCACTCTTTGTCCTGCGTCTGGTGATCATCCTTAACACAAAAAAGGCGATTTCTTTATTGTCACCTTCTGATGGTCTATTTATATCCCCAGGTGTGCATGGGCGTGTACAAGGGTGTGACTACAGCGCAGCTCGATGAGCTGGCAGCTGAAACCGCAGCGGGAATGACGGCCACCCACCCAGACTACGCTCTTGTGAGTAAAATCTTTTTGTTTATTGAGTCAATTGTCAATCTTAATTCATGTGAAGCACAGTGCGTCATTCCAATTCGTTTTTGCTATGGTCCGTGTGAGTCCATTTGACTTCTTGAGTCTCTCTATCAAATGTGCTGTGCAGTGCCGCGTTGGTCTCAATGCAATTATTTCCGCCTGCAAGCTCAAACGCAGCTTTTGCTGCTACTCTGAACAAGCATCTTTCCTCATCCTATTTTGTCTTTCCCACTCTGTTACATATGCCCTCCTCTCTCACTCCTTCCCCATTCACTTTCCGAAACCTAAACCCTGAACCCGCAGCTGGCTGCGCGTATTGCAGTCTCCAACCTGCACAAGAAGACAAAGAAGTCGTTCTCTGAAACGTGCGTTTTGATTGGTTAGACTGACTGACTGGTAGTATTAGAGGCAGATATGCCCGCCACCTTGATCGCAATGTGCGATGTATCTCAAGTTCCGTGCCATGCCATGCCTCTCTTCTCTGCAGTGTGACTTACATGTACGCGCATGTGAACCAGGAATCAGCGCTTTCCGCACCCTTGATCATAATCCATGGAACGCCTCATTCCATGCCATGCCATGCCATGTCTCTATGCCTCTGCAGTGTGAAGGACATGTACACGCATGTGAACCAGGAATCAGGGCTACCCTCACTCACCCGTGATCGAATGTTTGAGCACCTTCCATGCCATGCCTCTCTGCTCTGGTATGCAGGGTGAAGGACATGTACGCGCATGTGAACCAGGAGTCAGGGCTTCCCGCACCCTTGATCGCAGATGACGTCTACGAGATTATCATGAAGGTGAGAAAGAGTCTGCTAGGAGGTAAGAATGAAGGTCAACCTTGATTGACACAATTCTATGCTTGTTACTATAAGAGAGGGAGCATGAGCTGCGTGTAACTTCTCTCTCGTCTCCTTTTGTTCTCTCCGTGCAACCTCTTTGTGCATAACTGCATGCTTAACGGCATGTTTTCTCCTTTCCTCCGTCGATCCACCTTTCTGCACCCACCAGCATGCGGAGAGGCTAGACAGCGAGGTCATATACGACCGGGACTTCGACTATGACTACTTTGGCTTTAAGACCCTCGAGCGCTCCTACCTGCTCAAGGTTAGACACTCCCACCCAGTTAGCCAGTTGTGCATGGAAGGGCGCAGGGAAGGGAGAGGCTAGACAGCGAGGTCATATACGACCGGGACTTCGACTATGACTACTTTGGCTTTAAGACCCTCGAACGCTCCTACCTGCTCAAGGTGAGTGGGCTGCTCCAGATAAGTGGCGGCTCAGGGTAAGTGGGCTGCGCAAGGAAAGTGGGCGGCTCAAGGTGAGATTTGCTTTGGTTGGACCTATGCCTGCTGAATGTTATCACTTGTGCAGTGGTTCCGTTTTCCCACCATCGTTTCATCTCTCTCAGTAGTTCTCTTCCAGGTGAAGGCAATGCATGGTGGTGGTG